CAAGAAGAAGAAGAAGAAGAAGATCTGAGCTGACCTTCTTCTGCCAGCAGGGGGCGCTACAGCAATGAGTTAGTGGCTGCAGCGTGTGCTACGCAAAAGCTTCGTGTTCTGATAGATTTACATCCAAATATGATTGAGTGTTGCTGTCGTGAATTTGTATTCGCTTCTGAACTCTAAATGTGCAACGTTTGATAACCAAACGTGGCGGTTTGCAGCGCTTTAAACACACCAGTGTGTTAGCTGCGTTAGCTCGTGTTAGCTCCTGTTAGCTCTGTTAGCTTTAGCTTCATTAGCTCTCATAGTTATCGTAATATTTCCCCAGTTCCCTGGGCTTAAGCAGGAAGCAAGTTGAGATCATTGAAATAACACGCACACCGTGCTGGCGGCTCACAGCTTTAGCTTGTCTTGTTGAGTTCAAGAAAACTGCCCATGGTTCAGACTCAAAGCCACAAACTGGTAAGATGATTGTGTTTGTTCATGTTATTATTGAAGGTAGTGTTCGTAGCGGGCCATGACCATTCACATACATTTACCTTTAATAAAAGGTTCATATAAAATATATTTTCACCACCCCATGTTCACATGTCATATACATTTATGACATGTCATATACAGTTTTTTATTTACATTGCTGTTTATCACAAACTGTTTTGTAGGGTGATATAATCCATTACTCTATATTTGGATATAAAGGTTAAACATAATCAGTCCATAGTCGATGTTCATTATAATATATTTTGCTCCCTTCTTTGCAGCATTAGCCCCAGCAATTTTCCTTTGATGGATCCCAGAGGTCCTCCACGGGGCCCAGACTGGAGGCCACCTCCTGGCTGGGGGCCTCACCCAGAGTGGGGCCCTCCCCCTGGAGGCTGGGGGCCCCATGAACCTCCACATGCTGGTTATTGGGGGCCTCATGGACCTCCACCAGACTGGGGCCCTGAACGACCTCCGGGGTGGATTCCTGACCCTCATGACTGGGACTGCAGGAGGGAGGATGAGTGGCGCCGCTTTGGTGCACATGGACCCCCAGAGCTTCCACTACAAGGAACCTGGGAGGATGGATCGCCAGGACCCTGGGATAGACCTCATGGGCCACCAGGACCCTGGGACAGACCTCCAGGACCATGGGGTCCAGAGCCTCCTCCTATGTGCCCCCCTCCTGGCGTGGCTCATTCAGACATGCTTCCTCCTCCAGTTCCGCCTCATATCGGGGTGCCACACCCAGGAATTGCTCCTCCAGGAGTTCCTCCCATGAGACCTCCTCTAGATGTTCCCCCTCCAGGACTGCCTCCTCCAGGACTGCCTCCTCCAATAGGAATGCCTCCTCCAGACATCCCCCCACACTATGGCTTCCCAGGTGTTCCCCCAGGCCCCTGGAGTGGTGTGGTGAGGATATTTTTTTACATTTTTACAAAAATAAATTACTTTGTGCCACAACATAACTTAAACACATTGTATCTTTAGGGTGCTCCAGAGGCTGATGCAGAAAAGCCAATTTGGGTGAGTTACATTATCGGCTTTGGTTTACTAAGAAGTATACAATTATATCTTCTGTCTCTCTGAATTGATCCACATGAACTGGCAACTTGGCCATAGTTATACAAAACTGCTGCTTTTATTTCGTCTTGATCTCAATTCTAACCCAAAGTTTGTCTGCGGCAGCTCAAAGCTCTTCTTTCCGCTCCCACTGGGTTTGACTCAAAGCCGGCTGAAGAAACCACTGTCCCCAAGACTCCCACTCCAGAAACAGAACCAGTGACCAAAGCACCCAAAAAGGTCCACAAGTTCATAGGCCTGTTGGAAAAACGCCCTGTTATTCAGTGAGTCCACAATCTTCAGCCTGAACATGATTTTGAAACAATGTAAATAAATCAATCAATTTGATAGGAAGAGTTTTGAGTAAAAGATGCTCTTTCTCTGATCACAGACCTCTCCCTGGCCGCTCCTTGGGAACATTGTGTTACATCGGGGTAAGAGACACACCACATTTATTCATTATGAGTGTTTGTGGCAATGGTCTTTCTTTTGTTGTTAAATGCTCATTATAAATTCTAATTTGTGTGTATTCAATTTCAAAGCCGGTGTATGGACAGATTCAGAGGGATGACAAGATGAAGTTCACCTTCCAACGTTCGTCATATTTGGGAGGCAACAAAGCCCTGACTGAAGGGGTTACCGTTCACTTCACTGCTGTTATGGATGAGGTAAGTATCCTTTCTGTCAATGTAAGACTTTTACGGACAATATATTCCATTGCAACTGAGGAATATATAACAATGACATTGAAACTGCCTCATGCCGACTTACATCTATTTTAAAGTAAGGGTACCATAGGAATGAACATCAAATAAGCTTTCATTTGTAGGTTGGTGTTGAAACTATCTAAAAAGAGTAATTGAAATATCAATTATATTGAATAAAGAGTTTGGCTTATATTTCTGTGAGTGTTACAGTAAGTTGTATTTTCTATACTGATTGACACCATCTGATGTTCTCCACCAGAACAAGCAAATTGCGACTGACATCAAAGTGCCTCCTGGGGGCACGGAAGTTGTGGACCCGGAGATCTTTGAAGCCGTGGTGAGTCAGCCAATCAAGGAGGCCCAGGGCAGCGATCGCCAGAGCTGCGGTCAGGTCAATGTCACCCTCGGCAATCTCCTGACCAACCTGTCCTTCGAAAAGAAGGACTCCAGGGTCACGCTGGTTAAGGACGACCGCGTCCTCATAAACATCCTCACTGACCTTGTTACTTCTAAACGGAGAGCCACCAACATCCGGCTCAAGATCCCAGAGACGTTCACCCACACGGGGGAGACACGAGAGAAGGTGGGTCTTCTTTCACTGTCTGCAACCTGTACTCATGTGACTTAACGATTTTCCAAAGAGTCTTGAGTTCACTTGTTGTGAGGATAGCTGAGATATTTTTCCATGTAACTACAGTAATTATCAAAAGTAAATTTACGTATATTAGAAAGTATGTTAAAAAACAAAACAATTTGCAAGAACTGCATTTTTACAGTGAGATAAATGACTCCTCGTGTCGATAAACATTTGAAAAAAAAAAAATTGGTAATAATTATGATTCTTTGAACTTTGAAGATTACTGTCGATGTCCGTGGCCACTGTTCCATGGGTTTTTTTAATCTCACGGCAGAAGGTCGAACCACAGAACGGCTCCACATGGCACGAATAAATGTACCTATTTGACCTTTACATTTACAATTACTATGAAGGAAGCCAATTTTGAAGTGTTTTATATTAAATTTCCAACCAAATCAACCAACTAAAAGTGGAGTCTAATCTCAGCCATGATTCCAAACAAGTCTCAAACTCTTATGTATGAACGCTCAGCATAGTGTCCGTACAGCCCATCACAGTGGTCTCTGAGATGCTAATACATGCTAATACATTTTTTGGATTCTCTGCTGTTGGACAATTCATTCATCATTGAGCACTGTAAACACAACTGATCCAAAGTAATGGCATCAAATATATAAAAATATACCATTGATTTCACATAAAAATGTAAATATGTCTGTATATACTTGAGTTAAGTTTTAATGTCGCATTATTCTCTCATCTGATAGGAATTATGAAAAGGATCTGTTGTCTGATTTGGAAGATAATTTTTTACGCTTCCACCCAACAGCAATTCAAAATATACTCCATTGACAAATCAAGATAATTTTTTGGTCAAGAAATAGGCAGTTCTGTAAGATATTTGTTAGTTGCCAGTTCTCAATGAGCCAGTTTGCAAATGAAAACTTTACTAATTCAAGAAAAATGTGTCTCATTTTAATCTTCACAATAAAATTATTATTATTATTTGTGTTTATTTTTACTTAGGGAAAGATCCTGACTATCAAAGATAAAACCGGTACCATCAAGTGCGAATCTCACGACGAGCTCATTTTTGACATCACAGAAAACTTGAGTGAAACAGGTTTTACAGAAGAAGACGTCAACGAAGAAGTAGAGTTCACGGTCATCAAGGTGAGAGCATCTTTTTTTTCTTTCTGCAAGTGATAGTAGCTGAAAACCAGTAAATAAATAAAATTCTTGTATGTCAGGGCTGTAAATAACAACAATTTTGATAATCAATTAGTTGTTAAGATTCCCGATTCTGTGGATTTAATCAATTTGACCAAAAGAAAGCTAGCCGAGTAGATCAGGGGTGACAAACCAAATCGAGACCGGTCAAGTGGGGCTGCAGGATAGAAAGTTGCTTTGAAAATTGCAACACAGTTAAAACTTGTGTTCTCGCCTCCCTCACAGCGCAGCGAGGGAGAACGTGCAATCCGGATCCGCAGAGTGAGCGAGCCTCTCCTCTTCACTCTGACGTCACTGGCGGAAGAAGAGGCCGAGGAGGAGGAGGACCAGCAGCAGCAGCTGGAAGACCTGAGTGACAAACCTCTGCAGATGATCGCGGACATCCCCCTCTCCAACTTCAAACTGGATGCGGAGCTGTACGAGGGCGTGGTGAGCCAGCCCATCATCGAGCCCACGGTCAGTCAAACATTTTACCGTCCATCCATTTTTTTAACCCTTAGTCTTCCAACAGTTTAAAGGGGTGTCTAACCTGTCCTCAAAGGCCCGGCTGCAGGATTTAATTCTAACCAAGCAGGACCACAGAAGACTGCATTTCCTCGAGTGAATCCAGTCTGAACCTGTAGAACTCACAACTTTCAGGCACATAGGCCAATACTCTACCAACTGAGCCATTTTACCGTTTCAATACTTACTTCAATACTGCTATCTGTGTAGTACTGAACTGTGCCACCAAAACTGCAATAACTCAAAAACACAAATCTGACTGGTCTGGCATGTTTTCCAGCACTTGAAGCCTGGATATCCGGGTCAGATCCACGCCATGATCGGAGTGTGCAAAACCAACGTGACGTTCAACCACCGAGACTGCGGAGTGACGCTGCTGAAGTACGACCAGGTGCTCCTCAACCTTCTCATTAACACCACCAACCGGAAGAGGAGAGCCGCCAACATCAAGCCCAAGATTCCATTCACCTTCACCCACACGAAAGAGAAGAGAGAGATGGTACCAGCACACACACACTGGAAATAAATCAAAATTTGTTTACTAATAGATTTAATCGGACAACGCAATGTGTGACAGGACATCTCTACGATGCTGTTCTCCAGGGGCATCATTTTGGGCTTTGCTTTAGTCAAATGTGTAAAAAATACCATATTTATTGACCTCTCTGAATCCAAACAAATTGATTATCAAAGTAATTGTTTATTACAGCCCTAATACAAACATGGAGAACATTTGAACTAAGAAAAAATTAAAAACCTGTCAACTTTATTTTTACCTATGCCTCAGTTTTAGTATGGTCTGATAAATAAAGATGTAGGACTGTTTGAATTGTAATTTAATTAACATTATGGGTTCTCGCCAAGATTTTTTTCAGTCTCCACCACCGCACCAAAAACCCTGTGCGGACTGCAAATGTTGATGTATTCAATCAATCAATCATCCATCCATCCATCCATTTTCTTCCCCGTAATCCATTTCTGGGTCGGGGGGGTGGCAGTCAGAGCTGCACCCAGTACACTTAGCACCAGCCCCTCACTGGTCCTCCTGCAGGTGGTGAGTCCACAGGAGCTGAGATCTTTCAGTGGGAGCTTCAGGCAAAGTGGGGTAAAGTGTCTTGCCCAAGGACACAACGACAGTAGTCATCAGTGGGAGTCGTGAAGTAGGTCTTATGGTGGGCTTGAACCCACGACCTTCAGGCCCAAAGGCCAATGCTCTACCAACTGAGCTACTGTCGCCCCCAATCAATCAATCAAATTTTATTTATAAAGCGCTTTTCATACAAAAAGTGTAACACAAAGTGCTTTACAGTTTAGTTAAAAACAATCCAACATGCCCAGCCCTAAACCCTCCTCCCCACAGACCCCCCCCAAAACCACATTTATAATTATATATACAACCACATGCGTATACACACACAGACACACACATACAAGTATAAAGTCATATCAGGTAAAATAGGTAAAACAATAAAAAGAAATGGGGCTGGGAGCAGATGTAACCGGCTGAAGAAGCGCCATCCAAGGAGCCATCTGCACCAGGAGCAGAGAGCCGGCTGCAGCCACAGGGAACGACACAGGACCCAGAGGAGAGAGGGGCCCCAGACCCCACCAGGCCCAGGACTCAGACCCCATAGGACCCAGAGGAGAGAGGAGGCCCCAGACCCCCGAAGCCGTAGCAGGCCCCAGCTCACAGTCCAGAGGAAACACTGGGGACACTAAAACAATACAATAATACAATAGAAAGTAGAACAATAAAATGTGACAATAAAAAGAAAAATGGCAGCTGCCTAATATTGATAATAACAAAAGTAAATGGGTAGATACAATAAATCATTAAAAATAGTAAATAATAAAAATAAAAATAGAATGTGTCTAAAAACATAAATAGATGTACTAAAAAGCAATAATAAATACTAATCAAAAGCTACTCTAAAAAGGTGCGTCTTGAGCCTACTCTTAAAAATATGAACGTTCTCTGCGGCCCTGAGCTCCTCCGGCAGACTGTTCCAGAGACGGGGGCCGTAGTGCTGGAAAGATGCCTCGCCGTGAGTGTGTGTCCTGACTTTGGGGATGTTAGAAGTCTGCTGCCGGAGGAGCGCAGGGGCCGGGAAGGTTCATAGGATAAAAGCAAATCTGAAAGATAAGAAGGCCCAAGACCATTAAGACATTTAAAAACCATTAAAATAACCTTAAAATCGATCCTGAAACACACGGGGAGCCAATGCGGCGATTTTAAAACCGGTGTAATGTGGTCCCGCCCCCTGGTCTTAGTCAGGACACGTGCGGCCGAGTTTTGGAGTAATTGTAAACCTGAAATGTTCTTTTTGGGAAGACCAGAGAGCAGGGCATTACAGTAGTCAATGCGACTGGTGATAAAAGCATGCATCAGCGTCTCCGTGTTGCCCCGAGAGAGAATGGGGCGGACTCTGGCGATGTTCTTTAAATGATAAAAACCTATTTTTGTGATGTTCTTGATGTGAGGAATAAAAGTCAGCTCAGAGTCAAAGATTACGCCCAGGTTTTTCACTTTTGATGATGGATTAAAAGAGTGTGATTGGAGTTTCGGTAAAAGTTTCTCTCTCTGGGCCTTAGGACCGATGACTAAAACCTCAGTTTTGTCCTGGTTGAGCTGGAGAAAGTTTTCTGCCATCAATGTAGGGCTGGGCGATACGGCTGAAAACTAAGTGATTTGGTCGATCTTCGGTCAATAATAATTGTTTTTTTAAACCTTAAAGGACAACTCACCCTCAAATCCACTTTTTTTTGCTGATAGACGGTATAAATGAGTGTCCAATAGTGTTGTCTACATATCCTGGTCATAATCTTGTCACTTTGGTGCAAATTAGTTGAAAGTTAGACTTTCTGCCTAAAACCGTCTGTGAGGCGCCATCTGCTGGCGACCTGTATTACTACATTTGAATTTTGAATCTGGCGCCAACACTGGCACAGAAGTTGGACCTGACGTCTGCAAGTTGGACCTGACGTCAGCAGCCCCCCGCCCAGAGCAATGTAAACGGCCCAGTCTCGTTCACGCCCCCTTTAGTCCTCCAGGCTACGCCCATTTAGAGGAAGATTTGAACAGGAAATGTGAGTAACGTAAGCTCCGAGGAGCGGGGGTGAGAACCACTTTAATAAATGCATTTGTCGTGTCGCAACACACGTTAGCAGCACATATTTAGTCACAGGGGAATGACAACTCAGGCTGGAGGCATATGTTCACAAGCAAAGTGTCAGCCATTGACAGTCCTTGTTTAATCCTGGTTTAGTCCTGGTTTAGCTCCTGTTTTGGCAGTTTTTTTGAGTGTTTTCAGTGTCTCTGGCTGCGTGATTGTGTCCCGTGCGGCTCTCTGATAGCCTCACGTGTTTCCAGAGGAAAAAGTTTGTCTCTTGCTTTAGCTGCATGCATCAAGTCTCTGTACCCACTGCCTCTCGCCGCACACATGTTATCCCTCGCATGGACATGCTTAACCATTGACACAGCATTGAAACAAGACGACTATTGATCCACGGGCATGGTCTGCTTGTTGATGTGAGTTTCTTTTTTGTTGCATTCCCCAGAATGCCTTGTGGTTCATGCTTGGCGGTGATAGGTTGCGCGCTTCTGACTCGGCTTTACCTCTTATTTTTACGTCCTGTTTTTTCCATGGATGATAACTGGATAGGGTATTACTAGCTTATAGCTGTCCCACCCATGGGCACTTGATAACTGACCTCTCAAAACAATGACCGCTGCCCATGGCAACGCACCCTCTGCTTGTAATTCAGAAGTGTAAATTACTCTTAGTAGTCCGGCCACTTCGTCGCCACTACTGTCTCCGCAGTACAGTGTTGTGCCACTTCACAGCTTTTCTGAACTAGTTCAAGTTCAGTTCATACATGCTCAAAGTGAACAGTTCACGTTCAAAGTTCACATTTTTAATTCTGAACTAGTTCAAAGTTCAGTTCATTTTACTTTTTTTGTGAGATACTTAAATACATATTTTTTTCACACTACGAGCTATATATATATATATATATATATATATATATATAATTATACGGCTCCTCACAGCAGCAGTAGAATGCTCCATTGATTTGAATGTAATTTCAAAACGTTCTACCAGTCATTATTTTCTATAACGGACCTCTCAAAACAATAATGACCGCTGCCCATGGCAACGCACTCTCTGCTTGTATTTCAAATGCGTGGATAACTCCGCAAGTAGTTCCGGCCACTCCTGAGCTAGCCACGCTCAATCAACACACTTAAATGTTAATCGGAGAATACTTATACATATACATTCTTCACACACATGCACGAAAATTTTCAGAATTTTCTGGTCTTGTCTTCATGACAAAAATACTATTTCTCTGCGTCAAAAAGCGATCGTGAAAAACCCGGAAGTAGTTCTGGTATTTTAAGATACCGGCACATTTTCGGACACATTTGCAGAGGATCGAATTATGGATTTAGGTTAGGTTTATGTATGGGTCACTCACCGCTGATGTTCAGAATTCTTTGTTCAGTTTTCATGCAGTTCCAGAGAGTTCTAGTTTGGAAGTTGCCAGCCTAACTGTTGCTAGCATAGCCACAATTGTCAAAGCCACACTGCCTGCCCGCGGTTGCCGAGCAACGGGAAAACTTTTTGGGACTACTTTATTTGTTGTCATTAACCCTTGTATTATGTTGAAAAAATTGACATTGATTATGTTCGGGTCATTTTGACCCGTACTGTGTAAATGCACTCAAAACAGTCAAGAAAACAGGTTAAACCAATAACAACTTTATATAAATATTTAGAAAAGTGACATACAATACATTTTTAATTCCAACGCTATATTTAAGAAATATTTAGTCTAATCTTCTTGTCCTCCTCTCGGGTCAAAATGACAATTCTTCCCTCCCTTTTTCCTCCTGCCATGCTTTCTCCTTCCTTTTTCTCATCCTGTTTTCCTTCTCTCTGTTCATCCTCCTCTATTCCCTTCTTTTCTCTTCCTTCCTTCCTTCCTTTCTCCCTTCTTTCCTTCCTTCCTTCCTACCTTCCTTCCTTCCTCCCTTCCTCTTTATTTGACCAAAGATTCGTCCTCTGAATCCTCCTTATTGTAGGAAAATTGACAATCTGGATCAGCAATAACATTGGGCCTCATTCACGAATAACTTCGTAAGAAACTACTCAACTTTCTTCTCAAGTTGTCCTTAAGTAGATTTCTAAGAAGTCCCCACGTGGGATTCATCAACGCACTCGTAAGCCGCTGAATTGTTCGCAGCTGTTCTCTCAGATTGATGAATCCCATTTCCTCGTAAGTACAGCGCGCGTGCCCGGTGCTTCATTACCATAGGTACTTAGCATAAGTAACCGCCCACTAATGCCCATATAAGGGACTGCAGGGCCGTGTGCAGACGCCAGAGGAAACAGCAACAGGCCTAAAGCAGGCTTTTGCCAGACTGAGAATAAAGTTATAAAATGTTGACTTAAAAGTCGAAATATTATGATTATAAAGTCGAACTAGCAAAATTATGAGATTAATCTAAGAATATGATGAGATTAATCTCAAAATGTTATGAGCTTAATTTAAAAATATATTATGTATTATTTTAAAGATGAATCTCAAAATGTTTTGAGATTAATCTCAAAATATTTTGGACCCTGGGAGGAGATCCAGCGCGGACCAGCGCTGAGACCAATGCAGACCCGAGGAGAGACTGGAGTGACCAGCACACAGAAACCAGCGCGGACAGGAGAGACCGCATAGACTGGAGACACCTGACTGGAGAGACCGGTGCGCAGAGACCAGCGCGGACCGAAGAGAGACCGCATAGACCAGACTTGAGAGACCAGCGCGGACCCGTATGGATCCATGGGAGAGACCAGCGCAGACCCGTATAGATCCATGGGAGACACCAGCGCAGACCCGTATAGATCCATGGGAGAGACCAGTGCAGACCCGTATAGATCCATAGGAGAGACCAGCGCAGAGACTCAGCGCGGACCCAGTAACCTCCTGCAGCAGCAGTATATATGCCGTTGTTCTGTGGCCCGTGGATAAAGAAATGCCCCCTATAAATAGGAAGGGGTCACTAATACACGGCAAGATTTCCAATGTATTTGATAAAGCGTTGGCACATTTCATTTCAAAATGAATTAAAAAGTAGGCCAGATCTGCAGTGAAAAAGGCGGTATATAAATAAAGATTACTAATAAAGATTACTACAAATAAATAAATACATACATCGATATGACGGACATATCACTGGAATGTTGTATTTTTATTCAACTTCACCAAAGAGGACAACCCCGGCGTGTGAACATGTCGGCACTGAATGCGTACGAGTGCTCCTGAGGACTCGTAGGATTTGTACTTGCCCAAGTGAAATTCTGGTTACGAGAAATATTCGTGAATGCCACTTTCTTCGTAAAAACCGCGTAAGTAGGATTTACGTACAAATCTGTTCCTAAGAACCGTTCGTGAATGAGGCCCAATGTCCTGTATCTGAAAAATCCTCTGTTTCTGAAATCTCTTCCTCTACATTATTATCCCAGTTAAAAATCTGTGATAAAGCCTCCTCAGATGTCATCCTTCTGGAGCTCATTTTTGGTGAGTTTGTCTAAAGCCTAGCACACATCGACAGAGTACCTGGAGACAACTAGTTGCAAGGCGGCTTTTGGAAACTGAGAGTAGATGATGGGAGATGATCAGTTGTTATCAGATGTGAGCGCTCTTACAACTGGAGATAAACAGTTGATCTCCGGATTCAGTCAGTTGCCCGTGTTCTACTTTTTGGCAACTAGTTGTCCTCCAAAGTTGTAGATCCAGAGATATCACCCGATGTGCGCGCTCCGTGGCGCGCTCCAACAACATGTGTGTATTGCGTGTATTGCGCCCTCTACAGTTTGTCAGAAAACACACTGTAGTTGAGGCCAGTTGCTGTCGATGTACGCGCTGTTACTCCCGAGACTGGCCTGCTACAGGAGTTTCCCGTTTTCGCCAGATTGTTGATGTGTGCGGGGCAGCAACTCAAAGGCGACGGATATATTCAGTTGTCAGTACGATGCACGCTAGGCAAAAGAGATGACATGAGAACAGTGACAAGGACAAGTGTGAGAAAGTTCCCTCTCTTCACACACCTGGCTCTGGGTCTCAGAGGCAATCAAAATACAATGTCAAAGAGACATGTTTTTTGGATCTGAACAACTATTTACCCACATTAAAGCGTCAGGGTCAAAATGACCCGCAACATCATCTTTGTATACAAACTCTGCACAGACATTCCACTACACATCAAAGTGTCCAGATTTTACACACCAGTTCATGACCCTAGATGAGGAAAGTTGGTGGTAAGTTGGTACAAAGCAGTATTATAAGCGGGATAATGTATAGCATACAGGTCATTATCGGAAAATAAGTACCGACAGGGCGAAGCGGACCCCGACGCGCAGCGGAGGGGTCTGCTTCCGCCCTGAAGCATATATCTCCTATATATATATATCTCCTGTACACCCACAGGAGGAGAGTCTTTTGACCACAAAACAGACAAGATTTATATGGTTTTCAATGGGAGCAAAACGGAGTTGCCCCATCTCTGCTCATAAACTACAGATAGTAATGTGCTGTAGTGCGTGTGTCTATACTAATGTAAACGGTGTAAACTTTGTCGCTAACTCACCCTGTGTTTTCATCACGACTCGGGCACATGTGAAAAGCACCAGCTCACAGCGCCGCACCGCAACACGGAGTCGGGGTGCGTTCACAGACGGTGGAAACCGTAGGAATTTTTAGATTTTGCCGAAAAAGTGCGAGAATACAGGAGGGAGGAACGTTCTCTCGTTGCGTTTCAAAAGAGAAAACAGATTCCAACGTTCATAGTGATGTCTACCGTTCATGACACATAAAATGAACTAATTCACGTTCTAGTTCTTATTTTTAAAATGTGTTGCGTTCAGTTCAACGTTCACAAAAAAATGAGCGTGTTCAATGAACGCGTTCTTTTGAACTCGTTCACGCACAACACTGCCGCAGTAGTAGCATCGGAGCAAGCCACGCTCAATAGACATGGATAACGATCAATCAACAGATTTAAATGTTAATCGGAGAATACATTATACATATACATTTGTAAAACACATGTGCACGGAGGTTTTCGGAATTATCCGTTTACGTTTTCATGAAAAAAATACTGTTTTAACCCATATGCCCGCGTGCATCGGCGCCAATGCACACGCACATGTTTTACAAATGATCAATTTACTCGCGAACGGTAAAACGTAGCAACTTACATTTTTTTTCCTCTGTGAAGTACGTATTCAGGGCTTTCCGAAACTAGCTTTTGATTTGTCTGTGCGATGCACGGAGGATAAACTACGTTTGTCTGAAAGTCCGTGTCCAAAGCGTGACCCGTGAGGTACAAACAGCTGTGAGATACAAACACACGGGGACTGCCAAAGATCGTCAGAGTGAGATCTCTCACTCCTCTGCGTTTACTTGTTGTCCCACAGTTGAAACTACAGCTGCGATTGCAATAACCGGCTGAAGAGTGCGCATTATTGATAAAGATGATAATAAATACAGTAAAATGACATTATGTGTATATGATGTATATAAATATATGTCTTGTATAAATAATTGATTTTTTTTTTTTGGCTCAGTTTCTTATGTTTTACGTTTTTTACAGCTATGCTACAGAAGCAACCCCAGCATTATAGACAAACTGCTTCAGGAAGGGCATCAGGAGTACAGAGTTTTTTGCTTTTATAGTGGAATTTTGTAAAAAGTATAATAATTAGAGGTTCAATTTTTTTCCCCATTATCCCCAAGACCATAAATAACATTTCTATGCAGTGTAAAAAGTTTTTTATAGCATTTCATTGTGTTTTTTCAATACATTTTTGTTAAATTGATTTTCCGTTTGATTTTTTTCTTTGTCTTCATGATTCCATAATTTTTATATAATTCATATGACAGCTTTACAATATGCATATTCTAAAACCCCAGGTTGTACTGAAAAAAACAAAGTATACTGCTTGACTCTGCATCAAAAGATGACTGTTTTATGAACAATTATACACAAAGAAAACCAGGCGAGGAAAGTTCCCCAAAATGACCCATGTGCATAGAGGGTTAATGCGAGAAAAAGCAATCGCAGTAAACCCGGAAGCAACCATTAACATGAATTAAACATTTTAGGATGCATTTGCAGAGAATCAAATTATGGATTTAGGTTGAGTTTATGGGTCACTCTCCACTGATGTTCAGAATTCTTTGTTCTGTTTTCATTCTAGTTTTGAAGTTGACATTGGTTGACAATTGACCTCTTTGTTGTCTTCCTGCTTTCGTGGTTTCAGGGAGTCATGAAATCCCTGAATGCTTTGGAGGGCGTCCTGACAACAGAGGAGCACGGAGACCTCCTGTTCGACAAGAGGGAGAACTTCAGCGACACAGAGTTCAACGACGATGACCTCAACACAGAGGTTGAGTTCACAATGATTGAGGTCAGAGCAATTATTTCTCATGACTGTGTTCTTGTATGTATGTGGAGGGCGGACTCATCATTGAATGGCAAAGAGATGTTATTAGATTTTATTGAATGCAGAGGAATTAGTACTGGTGCGAAAGTGGCGTAAATCTAACAAACATGATTATAAGACACCAACTCAAAATATTGGACACACACACACACACACGCACGCACACACACACACGTGTAAAACACCCTAAACTGTTATAGGCAGTATCGTTTGACTGCAAATACTTTGAGGTGGATAGATAGATGGCTTTATTACAGACTGGTAGTCCAGAACAAAAATAGACCAGACACAACTAGAAACAGACAACATAAAACAATAAATGGTAGGCTGATCTATATTTAATTTCCTAGACAAACAAATTTTAGTCGCTATAGGACACTTGTTTACGGTCAAAATAGATGTAGGTGAATGAGACATGTTGTGACCAGTTAAAACAGTCGTCTCTCTGCTACATTACAACATGAAAACCTGCAGCCTATATTAGTGCTACCTTGAAGTGGACAAAATGTACTTCCTTTTAAAATGTAGCTGGTGTACCTTATTTGCATTGGAAAAGTACGATACTCATCAGGAGATTCCATTCTACCATTTTTACAAACCATTTTTTACAAACCAATTAACAAGTGTTAATTTTCTAAATGTTCTTTATTTTTTTACAGCTCCTTTTCTGCATCTGTAAAAAATAAATTACTGTATTTTCTAATCCTTTGTAAAAAATCACAGTATTGCAATGTGAAATATAATGAATTCATTGGACCAATAGTAGTTAAACCTGCCTTCTTTAGGAATACCATTGTCTTTGTTTAAGATGATCTCGTATATTGGTTTTCACAGGTAAAATCAAAGAAGCGGGCGATCCGACTCAGCAGAACCAACCGCATCTCGTATGTGATGGAGCTGAAGAAGCGACAGGAGCAGGAGGAGCTGCGGCGGCAGAAGGAGGAGAAGAGGAAAGCGGAGGAGGAAAGCCGTTTGGAGGCTGAGAGGAGGAAGAAGGAGGAGGTCGCTGCGGCACTGGCGGCCGCTCGAGACAAGGTGAGCACCGTACGGCCTTCAGTGTTGATGGTGATGTGGTGATGCAAATGAATTAGTTTACTCCTGATGTTGCCACAGATGACGATCAATGTCACTTTATTCAATGTCTCGCTTTATTTTTAAACTCTTCTCTGCAGATGACTCCTATTGGATTCATGATGCGCGGCGTGGATCCAGACGAGTCCATCAGTAAAGACCGCTTCAACGGCACCGTCCTGAAAGTCATCAGAGACGCCCCAAAAGAGGTCAAGACTGAGCCAGAGGAACCGGGGACAGAACCAAAGCCAGAACCAGAGCCAGCCCAGAACGGGGAGCCTAAGACTCCTGAGGTTTGTGTTTATAAGCAACAAATCTTCAAGGGATCTTTGTTTTGTTAATTATTACAAAGTAATATATAGTGTGTATAGATATATTTTCCTGCTGAGAAAATGAGTGGGTTGTGAAAAGTTTGACTTCTCCCTGCTCTTTTTTTAAGACATGTCTCAAATATTATCTGAATTTTAAAACTTATCGGCAAGTGTAACAAGTCACAAAATGGCAACAGCTTGATGGTTTCCCCCAAACCGGTCTGCCCACTCTGGTCCCTGTTTTACATGTGGTGCACTGATCATCTTACCAAATGCAGAAAGTTTGAATATTGTTTTTAGCTTTCATTTATTTCTGTAAAACAGCTGAAATAGGGCTGGGCGATAAAAGTATAACGATATATATTGCAATAGACACGTGTTCGATATCAATAGAAAACTGAGTCGATAGAATGTTCAATAGTTTCACTTCACTCCGTTAGAAAAAACAGGAAGAAAACACAGGAAGTAAAGCTGAGTCAGAAGCACGTGGCATTCTGGGGGGTGTAGGCAGAGGCTTCTCGACCTTTCACAGCCAAGCATGAACCACAAAACGTTCTGGGAAATGCAAAAACAACAACCGCACCATTTGTAGCGTCCATGGATCTATAGCTCGTGTTTCAATGCCGTGTCAACAGTTATGCACGTCCGTGCGCGGAATAACGTGTGGCGGGAGAGGCAGTGGACAGACCCAATGCATTCGCCGAAAGCAAGAGATTAACTTTTTCCTCGGGATGCACATGTGGCTATCAGAGAGCACGGAGCGGTCACGGGTACACAAGACCCTCGCAAACAGCCAAAACAGGAGCTAAACCAGGACTAACAACGGGGGACACAGTGTGAACATATTCCTCGAGCCTCATTCCCCCGTGACTGCAACCAAGGCTGCTAAGGTGTGTTAGCCGACACGACAAATTTATTTATTTAGGTTTAAAAAAAACAATTAATATATATCGTTATCAACAGATATGAATTACTTATGGCTGAAAACTATATCACAATATATCGCCCAGCCCTAAGCTGAAATGTGAAACAATGAAATGATTGAGATTTTAGGCTTTTGAGCCAATGATCAACATTGCCTTAATAGGCAATAATAGATAATAATAGAATAGAATAAAATAATAAAAATAGAATAATAATCAAAGGCTTAATAGATATCCTGTTGTCTGTCAAAAGTCTGTCATTGTTGAAATGAAGAGTTTAATTTGTATATTCTGTTCATGTGACAGGTAAAAGTCAAAGTGGAGAAGGAGGATCCAGAGGAGTCAAAAGAGGCCCCAAAAGAGGAGCCCAAAGAGGAGCTTATTGACAAACCGAAAGATGAAACAAAGGCGGAGGAGGTAAAACAGGATAAAGAGAAGAAAGACGTGATAGGTCCAGAAACGGGGCTGCTGGTGATGACGGTCGATGGACAGATGAAGAACCTCACATTCACACGCTCAGACCTTCTGACACGGGCCACCATGCTGGTCGGAGACAAGGTATGCTCTTTCTTCCGTCCTCCATACAGACATGATCTTACATTGCTCCTCTTTCAATGTATAAAGGTGCAGAAGTAAGGAAAGCAGTGTGGCAATGTACAGTGCCTTGCGAAAGTATTCGGCCCCCTTGGACCTTACAACATTTCGCCACATTTCATGCTTCAAACATAAAGATATAAAAAAAAAAATTTTTTGTCAAGAATCAACAAGTGGGACACAATTGTGAAGTGGAACGAAATTTATTGGATAATTTAAACTTTTTTAACAAATAAACTGAAAAGTGGGGCGTGCAATATTATTCGGCCCCCTTGCGCTAATACTTTGTAGCGCCACCTTTTTCTGCAATTACAGCTGCAAGTCGCTTGGGGTATGTCTTTGGAATTCCTTGCAAAACAGTTCGAGCTCAGTGAGGTTGGATGGAGAGCGTTTGTGAACAGCAGTCTTCAGCTCTTTCCACAAATTCTCGATTGGATTCAGGTCTGGACTTTGACTTGGCCATTCTAACACCTGGATACGTCTATTTGTGAACCATTCCATTGTAGATTTGGCTTTATGTTTTGGAATCATTGTCCTGTTGGAAGATAAATCTCCGTCCCAGTCTCAGGTCTTTTGCAGACTCCAACAGGTTTTCTTCCAGAATGGTCCTGTATTTGGCTCCATCCATCTTCCCATCAATTTTAGCCATCTTCCCTGTCCCTGCTGAAGAAAAGCAGGCCCAAACCATGATGCTGCCACCACCATGTTTGACAGTGGGGATGGTGTGTTCAGGGTGATGAGCTGTGTTGCTTTTACGCCAAACATATTGTTTTGCATTTTGGCCAAAAAGTTCAATTTTGGTTTCATCTGACCAGAGCACCTTCTTCCACATGTTTGTGTCTCCCAGGTGGCTTGTGGCAAACTTTAAACGAGACTTTTTATGGATATCTTTGAGAAATGGCTTTCTTCTTGCCACTCTTCCATAAAGGCCAGATTTGTGCAGTGCACGATTGTTGTCCTATGGACAGACTCTCCCACCTCAGCTGTAGTTATCTGCAGTTCATCCAGAGTGATCATGGGCCTCTTGGCTACATCTCTGATCAGTCTTCTCCTTGTTTGAGATGAAAGTTTGGAGGGACGGTCGGGTCTTGGTAGATTTGCAGTGGTCTGATACTCCTTCCATTTCAATATAATTGCTTGCACAGTGCTCCTTGAGATGTTTAAAGCTTGGGAAATCTTTTTGTATCCAAATCCGGCTTTAAACTTCTCCACAACAGTATCTCGGACCTGCCTGGTGTGTTCCTTTGTCTTCATGGTTCTCTCTGCGCTTTAAACAGAACCCTGAGACTATCAAAGAGCAGGTGCATTTATACGGAGACTTGATTACACACAGGTGCATTCTATTTATCATCATCAGTCATTTAGGACAACAATGGATCATTCAAAGATCCTCACTGAACTTCTGGAGTGAGTTTGCTGCACTGAAAGTAAAGGGGCCGAATAATATTGCACGCCCCACTTTTCAGTTTATTTGTTAAAAAAGTTTAAATTATCCAATAAATTTCGTTCCACTTCACGATTGTGTCACACTTGTTGATTCATGACAAAAAATTAAAATTGTATATCTTTATGTTTGAAGCCTGAAATGTGGCGAAAGGTTCAAGGGGGCCGAATACTTTCGCAAGGCACTGTAGCTAACTGTATTGGGTATTGTTTGGTGTTTAAGTGTGTTATAGACCTAGATTAAAGGGGCATTTCAATCAATCAAGATGTTTCAAATTGTGTACAAGCACAGTATTATGCAACAAAGCAACAGACGTACATGTTTTGATAAAGGGGTTAGATAAAACGGATGCCTTTAAACTACTAACCCCCCCTCAAACTGTGAACACAGTGATGATTTGGTATGCAATCATCCAAAAACTATACAAAACCCCCAAATCTGAACGGTACAGTGGGGCAAAAAAGTATTTAGTCAGCCACCGATTGTGCAAGTTCTCCCACTTAAAATAATGACGGTGGTCTGTAATTTTCATCATAGATACACTTCAACTGTGAGAGACAGAATGTGAAAAAAAATCCAGGAATTCACATTGTAGGATTTTTTAAGAATTTATTTGTAAATTATGGTGGAAAATAAGTATTTGGTCACTTCAAACAAGGAAGATCACTGGCTCTCACAGACCTGTAACTTCTTCTTTAAGAAGCTCTTCTGTCCTCCACTTGTTACCTGTATTCATGGCACCCGTTTGAACTCGTTATCTGTATAAAAGACCACAGCCTCAAACAGTCAGACTCGCAACTCCACTATGGCCAAGACCAAAGAGCTGTCGAAGGACACCAGGAAAAGAATTGTAGACCTGCACCAGACTGGGAAGTGTGAATCTACAAAAGGCAAGCAGCTTGGTGTGAACAAATCAACTGTGGGAGCAATTATCAGAAAATGGACATACAAGACCACTGATAATCTCCCTCGATCTGGGGCTCCACGCGAGATCTCATCCCGTGGGGTCAAAATGATCATGAGAACGGTGATCAAAAATCCCAGAACCACACGGGGGGACCTGGTGAATGACCTGCATAGAGTTCGGACCAAAGTAACAAAGGTGTGTTGAAAGTCCGTGTTGCTCGGCGACAGCCCCAAAACTTCACTGTTCTCAAGAAGATCTGCATGGAGGAACGGGCCAAAATACCAGCTACTGTGTGTGCAAACCTGGTAAAGACCTACAGTAATCGTTTGACCTGTTATTGCCAACAAAGGTTATATTACAAAGTATTGAGTAGAATTTGTGTTATTGACCAATTACTTATTTTCCACCATAATTTACAAATAAATTCTTTAAAAATCCTACAATGTGATTTTCTGGATTTTTTTTCACATTCTGTCTCTCACACTTGAAGTGTACCTATGATGAAAATTACAGACCACCGTCATTATTTTAAGTGGGAGAACTTGCACAATCGGTGACTGACTAAATACTTTTTTCCCCACTGTACTCTACACCTCTATCCCCCGTGTGCTCTTTTCTCCACATACTACTTCAGTATTTCTTTTTTTAGACCCCAATTATACGTCATCAAAAAGTAAAATTTGGTTTGTCTCCAATTACAACTTTTGAAATGTGTATAATAACTACTTAATTATTATTATTATTTTTGTATAGCCCTAAATCATGAGTGCAGTCATCTCGGAGGACTTAACAAAGTTGTCGATTCGCCAGCAACAGATCAGAGAATCTAACATTTGAAACACAGGATATGTAACGATATCAAACGGGTAGGAGCCATTGGTCCATAGGGAGTGGGATAACCAATGTCCATCTATTTCCATTTCTTTTTCCTTTTTTAATAAATTGTGAACAACAATATGTGTTGGTGCAAAGGTACGCTTCAACATCGCCACTCGACAAAAAAGCGCCCAGGAGCGAGCGGCCTACGTGGAGATCCTCCCTGACTCGTTTGAGGAGTCTGCGGAAGAACGACATAACGTAAGCGCTTCTGTGCGATGACTCGACTTGTTCCTGATGCTGGTGGTTCTGACTGGCCTTTTGTTTGACCCCAGGGCATCGTGATCGAGTTTGACGAACACGTGGGGCTGATCAAGTGTAACCAGAACCCAAACTTGCTCTTCCGCCAGACGGAGGTCATCGAGAAGAAGAGTCTGGAGCTAAACGAGAAAGTGGAGTTCAGCATCGTAAGATTCCTCTGCTCTTTATCAGTTCAACTCGGCTCAAACGTCATTGTTCTCACATAAATGCATTAGTTTTATGTTTAGCTTTTATGGACATTCAAAGACACTTCTCAGCATTATTCGTTCACTCCATACACAGTGGCGCTAAGCTGCTACTGTAGCCACAGCTGCCTGCACTAACAGAAGCAATCTGCCCCTCGGATCACCACCAACAATTCACGCACACACATCAGTCAGATTTTTGTCAACGTGGGTGAAGTGTCTTGCCTAAGGACACAACCAAAGTTCAACACTTTACAGCCACAGCCGCTCCCAAAAAAAATACATAAAAAATAATGAACAGAAAGTTTTTAGTGGTAGGGGATAATGGAGCGCCTGGAGGAAATCTACACACATACATGCAAACTCCATACTAAAAAAAAACATGTTTGAGTCTGACCTTTCTGTGGTTGGGTCACAGTTACGCCATTAGATCGGAGTGTCTGGCTCATTTAATTTTCATGTATGAACATACATTTAATTGGTTCACATTCACATGAAATGTCAATGTCAAAATTAAGATTATTTTTCAGGGACCAAACAAACGACTTATGCCCAACTTTATCTATTTGAAACTGTTACATTTTATACTTCTGTCCAATTTTTTAGAATATAACAACTGAAGGCGTGGAGCAGGCCATCCGTATTAAACGTTACACTGAAAGCATGTTTCTGCCTGTGAAGAAACTGTCCGGAGTCGGTGGATCCAAGAACAAGGTGAGGCTTCCATAAAACCAATGGAAGCTGAATCTTTTGGACGGCACATACTTACAATATGCTTTTATTATCCATAGCCAATGACCATCAAGCTGTCCATGCAGTCAGAGGAAGAGTGAGTTACATAATGTTGTACTTAAAAGTTGGCTTTTTTGACATTGTTTTCTTTAGATTAATTTAGTATTTTGACAAATATTTATACAATGCACACATCATTTATCATGTGCTATAACCTGTGCGACATGGTGAACATTTCTAGTCCCTTATCTAGTGAAGTTGTGCATCCAAGAATGCACAAGAATATGAATTTATTACATTGTAACACGGAGGCATTCAAGCAGCTTCTTACACTTTTCTTTACAAAATGTCTATGAAGTCTCATAATTCCTCATAAATATTGCCAGATCTCTGAAAGACGGGTGATCTTCCTGAAAGTTCAATGCTCTCCATGTGTTCGTTATTCAATCTGAAGTAATGATTGTCTGTGTTGTTACCTGCCGTGTGTCAAGCCCATAAGTTTTTCATTTCGACTAGAAAAATTGAGTCGATATTGAGATGTGAACATAACCTCCAATGAAAACCACAACCTGCAGCCAACCATAAACATTTCATGCTTGCCATGGATCTACGCTGAGGGCAACTAAATATACACATACAAGGGCTGTTTTCACTGATCCCATAGTTGTAGCTTATTGATATCAAGATATCTGGCGTGAATGTTGAGTCCATATTAGTTTTGACTACAATTTACTCTACATACAAATGTTTCAAAACAACTGACAATGAGATATACTCTTTTATTGACTGCCTCCAACGGTACTTCTTGTGGTGTTTCTTTTAGAAGGAAGAAGGCAGAGGCACAAAAGCTAAAGGCTGTTGTAAAGAATCTAAGAACACAGGACAAGGGCTCCAGCAAGGAAAAGAGTCCTGAGAAAGACCGGTATGGACGTGTCGTAGTGAAGCCCCGTTACAACAAAGACCAGGCCAAGAAACGCTCAAAGAGCCGGAGCAGGAGCAGGGATAGATCCAAAAAGCGCTCCCGCAGCAGAGAGCGCTCAAAGAGACGTAGCTCAAGCTCCAGCAAGAGTCGCAGCCGCAGCAGAGAGAGAAGTCGGGAAAAGGGCAAAGGCCAGAGCAGAGAGCGTTCCAGAAGAAGAAGCCGAGACAGGAATGAGCACAGGCGACGACGCGAGGCAAGTCCAAGATCACGACGCGAGGCAAGTCCAAGATCACGACGCGAGGCAAGTCCAAGATCACGACGCGAGGCAAGTCCAAGACCACGACGCGAGGCAAGTCCAAGACCACCGCGCCACGTAGACGATGAGTTGGCTCGGAAAAAGCGTGAACTTGAGGAGCTAAATGAGATGATTGCATACAAGAAGGCTATGGCCGACCCTCGAGTCATTGACCCCCGCGGCCTGGATCCTCGAGGCCTTGATCCACGGGGCCTTGATCCACGAGGCCTTGACCCCCGTGGCCTTGATCCACGAGACCTTGATCCTCGTGGCCATGATCCTCGAGTTTTGGACCTCCACCGTCCAGATCCCAGAGACATGGGCCCCCGCAGTCTGAATCAAGGCGGAAAGACCTGCTTCGACTATGACCATGGCAGAACTGTACCAGTGAAAGAGTTCCAGCCGCCCCCTCCAAGACCTTATGGAGACCCGCACTATGACAGGGATCACGATATGTACAGAGATCGGCGCTACGGAGATCCTTATCTAGACAGGTACAATGATCCATACTATGATCGCCCCCCGTACGGACCACCATCCTTTGAAGAAAGACCATACCCCGAGCCTTCCAGACGCTACACTGACCCCTACAACGTTTACGATGCACCGCCAGAGAGTCGTTATCGTGATCCAAATTACCCACCACCGCCAGATCCTGCATACCCGAGGGATCCCTACAGCAGACCACCTTTGAACCGTAGTCCCCCGCCGCAGGAGATTGTCACCTCCTCTGGTCCTCCCTTCAGACCCCCATCTCCAGAGGAGTCTCCACCAAAAAGCCCTCGTAAACTGCAGTCTCCCCCACCTGCAGTTGAGAAACCTCCAGTTGAGAAACCTCCATTGGCTCGATTCCTTGACATGCTTCACAAGAAACAGAATACTCCAGACAGATTTATCAGCAAGCCTCAAGATGACCTTCTTCCTCATGAGCGGGCGCTAAAAGAAGGCGCCACTGGCTTCTCTCAGATTGTTGGATTGGCCTCATCAAAACTCACCCAACCAATCAAAAGCACTTCACCACCACAACCCATCAAACCAACTGCAGAGCCCGAGAAGGCCGAACCCTACGACAAAATCCAAAGCCTTTTACGAACAATAGGGGTAAAATTTTCTCCAGATGACATGACTAAACTCAGAGCACAAGCTGGAATAATCCCCTCTGGTTCCAAGGAGAGCTCTTTGGAGCGAGATACACGCCACGCAAGCTCTAGCAGAACAGGTTCTATGGATCATCTTCACTCTCCTTCTCCAGCCAGAGCTGCGAGTTTAGAACCAGCACGAAAGCCGGCCAATGAATACGAGAGCTTCCTGGACCAGCAGGAGTTGGAGGCTCTGCAGAAAGCACAACAGATGCAAAGTCTCACTCGCACCATAAGCGAAGGAACTCCTCCTCCGAAACCTCCTCCAGGTCCTCCTCCGGCCCAGTTTCAGCGACCCCCGGTGCCAGACAGCTGGGATGTCCAGGCCTCTCAATCTCCATCCAACCCCAACAGCCAGGCGTCTTCAGGGGATGGTGCCTCCAAAATGTCTCATGCAGCCACCCCCGGAGCCCCACTTAAACGTGCTGCGTCCCAAGGCCCCCCAGGACCCCCTCCAGGGCCTCCACCCAAACGGCCCTATGGACAGGCCCCTCTCATCTCTGTCCTGACGTTACTTGCTCAGGGAGGCCAGGGAGCCGCTGGTCCACAGGTATGGTCACACACTTTACACACTACATTTATGAATAAACAATTGGTGTGGTACCAATTTTCCCAGTTAAAACAAACTTCACACATTAGTCTAAAAGGAAGAATTACATCTTTATAATAAAAAAAAGGTTTAAAAAAACTTCTCATAGTTTCATAAAGGAATCTTTTTTTATGATTGTACAATATCAAATATACTAATTTCAATTTGTAAACTGAACAAATTCAAACTCAAACAAAACAGGATTAGTTCAAAAGTGGTTTGATGAAGCAGACTCAGTTTCTCAAATACAATAAATGATTGTCACACATTGTCAGTGGCTCCAATAGTTACGACTGCCCACCAATCCAACCCGCAGGCTCCGCAGGCTCCCATCTCCTCCACTGTAGCTCGCTGCCTCCAAGTCATCGAGACCGTCAAGACCTTGGCCCAGCCGGCCGCCAAGCCCGCCAAGTTTGTGCAGTTCAATTTACCGTCCGAGTCCACCCCCCAGGCCACGATGGAAAGTGAGGAAGACATCAAGAACGCACAGCAGGAGAAGGTAGATGCACGCTTTTAATCGATTAAACCCCATATGACTAGTTAGACTACACTATTAAAAAAGATAGATTTATTTGGTATAAAGTGTATTATGGATGAATATTAGAGACATTCACTATGTCCTCCATTGTCAGTTCTTGTTTCAAATGTCTTCCTCTGACCTCCCTCTGTCTCTGGTTGGCATGTGTGTTTTCACAGCAGAAATTGTTGTATAAATCTATACTGCATTCGTGACTCACGTGAAACTATTCAACGCTAACAAAAATATTTTAATTATTAGAAAATGTGTTATTTATTTATTACTGGGACAGTGCATATTAATGAACATTTCTGTAAATATCCCAGAATTAGCCATGCGGTTATTTTTTATCCATAGTCCCGTGCCTCCTGAAAGATGATAACATGTTTGCTACACAGACAGTTAAAATAATGTGAGATATTTACAATATTTACGTGTTTTATTTACAATACTTCCAGAGGGAAACCCTTTATGGCCATTAGGGAGCAGGATGACCAATGTGGATAAATGCATAAATGACCATCTTTTGGTGATTATCGGTCACCCTTCCCTCCGCTGCAATTTTCAGCCAGATACCATACGTGCCGATCAAATCTGGTTTGAGTATTTTGTGGCACACAAAAGTACAGATTCTGGATTTAAAGCTGAAGAGTCCTGGAATAGTAGAATCTTGTTCTGCTAGGTGGGCACCTAAAGGTTAGGTTAATGCCATGCAACTCTAGAACCTAGAAACCTAAAATGTGGACCTGATATTCCCGCAGTTGGATCTCTACAATCAGCGATTCCTGGAGAAGCGGGAGCTGAGAAAGAAGAAGTATATCGAGTCGCGAGCCACAAAGGGCAAGGGTGCAATTGCTGTGGCCCCAGGTATACTGCAAGTTTTATAAAGCTCTAACTGTACTAACTGCATCTCTGCTTCACAGATTAAGGATTCAAACATCTATGAGGCATCTGCTGTCCTCTGAGCTTAAGGCCGAGTTCTAGTATTAGCTGGAAATGCACATAGTGATAGATGTACTTTAAATGGATAATGTAGATTTATTTTGCAATCCATTTTAATAAGTCACAACATTTCTGGAAAGGATAAGAGTCACATTTAGATGAATTTGTAAATAGTAATGTTAAGGTCAGTATTCTTGAGAATCCAGTAGCTCTGAATCCCCTACTTGGCTACGGAGCAGTGCAGTGATAATCTCTTCATCTTTGATATTTGCACACCGGGGGTTATTCCAGCCTATTCTTTGAATTGCATTGACAAATTTGCAGGGGGAAAACTACCGTCTGCGTTTTTGACTAGTTCTTAGTCTTTGAGCGGTCAACGTTATTTGTGAGAATTCAAAAGGAAGCTGGTCGCATCTCTTCATCAAAGTAAACATTTATTTATTCATTTACTGAAGTCTGCAGTTAAGACCTAGTATGGAACATTTTTATTCTTTAGGAAACGCTAGTGAACCGTCATGGATCATACTGGACTCCAGCTAGACTTTTGAGTTGAGAAATGTTAGAAATGTAGTTCTGGAGTTGGAGGTGCAGCCAATGGTGAGTGAACACTTTCCCATCACATAGATTTATCTTAATGGTTAATCTCGCACCACACTGCTGGATGGTTTAGGTGGTTAGGTTTGGGGTTTTAGCCTTTTTGTTTCACACGAAAAGTGGAAGTGTCCTGTTGGCTGCATCCAGACTCTCCACAGGGTTAGATATGAGGCTTGTCAAAGCCACCGTATATTTTATAATCAATCAGAAGCTGCTACTGTGTCCTGTCGGCTCATGCATGCAGAGTTTTATCAGTTTAGTTTAAAATGTAACTTTTTAGAAACATGCAAGAAAGTGTACCCTCTTAGTGGAGTGTTCTTGTGTGAGGTAGATGCGCTTGTCTATTTCACACATGTATTCTGTGGATGTTGTAAAGCTACTTCTCCAGTAGAACCTGCGTCTAACGGCTACATGCAGTAGCTAGCCTGAATGTGGGACATTGATTACTTGTGTGCTTCAAAAAGCTTGTGTCTTTGCTGGAAACCTTCTCTGGAAGCTTTTCTCCTAAATTGTGCGTGTCATCTACGCCTTCAAGTCCAGTCATTTAAGAATGCGAGGCTATCCGACAATTTCGTCAAAGCAGGAAAGTGCTTCCTCTCATCTTCAACGGTTTTATCTTATTGTGGTGAAAGAAGTAGAATAGGATACCATAATTATAAGGGTTGCAGCTAGTAACAAAACTGTAGCTAACAGTGTTATTGTTTATCCAATATACAACTTAAATACATAGGGTTGTAGCCTGGCCAGCCAGCCCCACCCACTGCCTTTTAAAGGTGGTGTCTGTAACTTCATCCAGCTGGATATGTTCTATCATGTAAATTAGTAGTTTTCAAACATGTTTCATTTAGTCTCTCCTCTTGGTATAACCACCAGCAGCGAGATCTGCGAGACGACAATAGTTGAAGTCCAGAGGATTAAGCTTTATGACTCCTGGGTGTTTAACCCGTGTTGTTGCTGATTGGATAATATTGTCACACCACCGTTGCAAAAACATCAAAAGAGGCATCGACGGATGGTCTCACTGGCCAGGGCTAGAACTGCTACATGAAGGGCTGGGAACCTTTCCACATTCTTTGGGTACCAGTACTTGATCCATTGTTCTTTTCTTTTGGTACCGGTTCCTGGACTTCTAACCCTGTATTTAACCCTCTCCCAGAACCCTAAACATAAAGACTATAATTACTAATTTTATTTATTTTTTCAGATGTTTTTATTTTGTATATGTTGTACTGGTATCCAGTGATCGGTACCTGGCCTTAGGTATTTGCTAAAATTATGTATTTAATCACAAATTGCCGTGTGTGTTTTGTCTTTGGCTGTTCTTATTTACATCTAATATCACGGAAAGCTAATGTTAAGTGTTTGAATAGCTTTATTCCGTTATCAACCTTTAGCTTTTAAGGCGGTGACTGTATCACAGCTTAAGCAAGAGCTTCTTCTGCCGGTAGTGACAGTTAAGAGCGGGTCTGCAGGAAAGATCAGGGAAATCTGCTGCTTATGTAAACAATCTTCATTTCCGACCAGAAAAGTATATTTTTATGTTTGGCTTTCATTCTGAAAATCAAACATGTACTTGCTGGAAAGGTAGGTAATGTTACAAATCATACACAATGTTTTGAATATGTTAAATTATGTATTGCTATTTGTGTTGAATTTACTCAGGAGCTAGTGAGGTGATCTGATTAACACACAGATAAACTGCTGCACCAGCGGTGTTACATTCTATCAGAGCCCACACGTTTGTATTTGTGGGCAGTTCAGACAATTGAGAAACTGAAATGGCTGTGGTGGTATCGCAGATTCTGTTCTAATGCCTTTTTAAGGCCTAGTTTTTTAGAATATGGGACTGAAGCTAATGCGCCTGTGGTTGCATCGAAGTATTGTGGTCAGAATGTTTTTTCTTCTGTGTTTTGAGGCAGTGACCGTTCTCTAGTCTGAAATGTGCTGCAGCCTGTATCTAAACAGTAGTTTGACTTTGTGTTTTTGGTTTGTGTTTCAGCAAAGCCCCTGACCGTGGAGCAGAGAAACGTGTGGATCTGTGGACACTCGTTGATTTACTGGGCCGAGTCCCGGGCCAAGTCCCCTGAGGTGGGCATGCAGCTGGGCATGGACCCCAGCCGTGTCAGCCTGTGGTGGAGGGGCACTCAGGGCATGACCTGGTCCCAGCTCCTGCCACAGCTGCATCAGCTGAAGGTTCTGTGGCCCAACCCCGACGTGCTCATTGTCCACCTGGGCGGTAACGACCTGAACGACAGCCCCACTGACCTGTTGACCGCGGTGCGTAGAGATTTGTCTTCCATCAGGAGCATTTTCCCGCGCTGTCTCCTGGTTTGGTCGCACATCTTGCCGCGTCGCGTCTGGCGGCATTCGTCCGACAGTCACGAGGTGGATCTGGTGCGCTCCACTGTGAACCGCCGCATTCACAGTGTGATCTCTGAGCTCGGGGGCGTGTCCTTGGCGCACGATAACATCCGGTGTGGCGCGAACACCGGACTTTACCGCGTTGATGGCGTTCACCTTAGCCCCAAAGGAATCGACGTGTTCAACCTCAACCTACAGGACCTGCTGGAGAAGTGGGACCAGGAGGTCAACAAGCCCCAGTAGGTTCTTGAGGGTTCTAAAATGGAGAAACTGGAGAGGAGCTGATCTGCTGGAATAAAGGGACAGTCACTTTTTATGTTTATTAGATTTAGTGTTGGCTCTTTTCATTCTTGTCTAGTGCATGTGTAAAACTGTTGAGATATCTTTACTTCAACAGCAGACAGTCATCCCCCAGTCAATCCATTCTAGTAATTCTTAGTCTTCATCCTTGAGCTGCGTTAAAATCAAACCTTGAGCTTGTCCAGTTGTGTATGCTAGTCTGCTAGCACATTCACTAGATAAACTTTCATTAATGTTGCAGTCTTTTTTTTTGGAGATCTTTAGACCACTAATGCTAATTTTCTCTCTCATTTTTCAGTGCCTGTGATTAAATAAATTACTTTTAAATAAAGTGTGGGTGTCATATTTTTGTTAAATATAAAGTATTCATAAGGAGAGTGAATATGGCAGATGCACTGTTGCTAAGAACTTCACGATTTACTTGCAGTAACCATCATATATACATTTTATTGATTGTTTTTTGTGATTGTTAAAATTGAAATTTGTAACAATTTATCCATAGTTGTGACGTTAACATTTCTTCTGCTGAGACAATCCCAGACTGCTACATCTTTTTAAGCACATGTTGAAGATGTCGCTCATTAAACCAGGTACTAGTGTCCCACCATAAACACATTCTCCCCAGATAAAACTACAATTTGGTTTTTAGATAAAACTTTGGACTTTTGTCTTGCAGTAAACTAAATACATCAGACTAGTGAAGCACTTATTTGAGAATTATTCACCCACACAAGCTGCTACTGTTGCCAAAGCTTCCCTGGGACAGACTGACGGAATTGTGGCTACCAACCTGCGCCATTGGATAATTATACAGGTAAAATGGTAAATATTAAGGCAGTAAGGGTAATGTTTATATTTTTAAGAAACTGGTGGCAGTGGCACAAATAGGAATAGTTCACAAAATCTATTGGAGGCACTGGGAATTTTCACATTTGTTTGCTCTATTATTCATGTTAAAATTTCAATCTCACTGCAACATTGTATTCCGCACATTTAATATACATTTTTCAGGACTATCTAGTTACATTCACCCCCACCCCCCAAAGTGACCTTATTGGAAGCATTTGAATACTTTCAGCAGAATCTGAATACATACAGTATATCAGCTTTTAAATTATGATCAGCAGGTAAGGAAAAGACGCCCATTGATTTTTCTCTTTTTATTCTTTGCAGTCCTTGTTTTGTCTTTACATTGCCATTCATTTTGACATTTATACCATAGTGAGCAAACCATACCCCCCAGAAACCCCAAAGCCATCAGGACAAGACCATCACAGGGTTAAAGTTCACACAAAGGATAAACAAAGCTCCTCTCAGTCTGCAGCCAGCATCATACATACATGTGTATATCATTAGCATAACAGCATAGAAAAGCATTCAGAGCAGTGGGGCCGAGCAGACCGTATGGTGGACCCTGCGTGTGTGGGTTTGGGATCAAGACGCTAGTTAAAAAAAAACGATGGAAAGGATGTGACTGTTGAACCCCTGTAAGTTATTCCACACTTAAAATATGTTTGGGTGAGTTCAAATCCCTTATATACATTTCATATTGTATTTTAATTACAACATTCTTAATTCATGCTAAGTTAAATCAGTGCACAAATCAAGTTTGCATTTTGTTTCTTTGCTTGGAATACATTGCGATTGCTCTACTTTCCACAGATGTGACTCGGCCTCGGGATGTCGCTGGATATCTTCAATGTGCAACAAACATTCCAGTCAAAAAATATATTTTCAGGCATGGAACCTCACCAGTATTGTGTGTCTAGTCCATTCTTTCATAAATTAGAAAATAGTGCACATTTTAAAAGCTAGGCTTCGAGTTGAGGTTTAGCTAATTTACAAGAAGTCTGTTTTGAGTTCATATGGTTTTCATTGTCTAAGTTGTACAACAAGCATTTGGAAGCGTTTGTAAATAAAAATTGTCCATATTGCAAGTCAATTTATTTAGAGCTGGGGTACTGGATAAAAAAATATGTACTACAAAGCTATCAAACTCCTTTCAATGGGCAGCATATCTTAGCCATCAGAGCTTTCTTACAAGAATGAATAACTGCTTTTGTTCAATACATAAATACATGGCTTACTCTTAGTTCTTTAAAATGGCTCATTTTCTGTTCTAGCAACCCCAGCTCTAAGGCAGGCATGTGTTGCTTCTGACAATATCAACTGATGCCATATGACACAGATTTGTAAATGTGTTTTTTCATACAACTTTTTCACAGGTAGAAACAAAATGTATAGAGAAACCTATTTATCCACTTGCATATTTAGTATTTTTTTTCCATGTATCCCATACCTCACACAGCCACACTGTCCGGTCTGCATCTTTTTAAAGCGAAAGAATGACTGGTGCTTTACCCCTTTCTGGGAACCTATAATTACACACTAAAGCAGTTCAACAACAAGGTAAAAATGACACACTTCGTTACACCAAGGCTCTACCCACAGAGCCTGTTCCGAACGCAAATTCTGGCACCTTAGAATCGGTTATTCCTGGCTATCTTACAACCATTTATTATAATACATCCTTCACTTCTCGCCTCAGTAATTAGAAAACGACAAACTAAGCTAAGTGACTTCTACAGGTTCAGGCACGTAAAGAGCGGAATGGAAAAAACAGGATTGCCTTGAGTAGAAACATTCTGGAAGTGAGTAAAAATATATGTACAAGAGAATAAGAGATTGTAGTAGTAAGGCAAGAAGTTCTAATGTACCGGACTTGTGTGTGTGCCTTCATCGACCCGTGAGGCACACGCTGAAAGGGAATTAGAAAATAACATTGATTTTAAACTGGAAAATTATGACTAAATACATGACTATTTCAGATGTAATAAAAAAACACAAATTAAGGTACACTAGTTGTCGGTATATGTGACAAAGACAACTAACCTGAGGTCTGCAGACAACAATAAAATAAGGATGTTTTTTTACGATTATTTTTTCCCTTTTCTATGACCTTGTCCTACAAAAAGAAATCTCACTTCATGTGGCAGAGCCTGTGCCTCATTTTATAACATAAAACTGTCCAAGAAGTAGCTCATTTAAATAAAGTATAAAGCAGGTATGTTAAATAAAAACAGCTTTGCCTAGGGAAAAACAAAAAGCTACTCTTTATGTACAAATGCTACCACCAAAATTAATAATTAAAACTAGTAAAAAAAAAAAAATGCGTGATGTCTTTTTGTTATTGACATTCTGATCCTGCTGTCAGAACAGAGCAATGAAGAGAGGGTATGACACTTTTCGACAGCTGTTTTTGGGAGGAGCCTCTCGTTCAAGGCTCCTCCCATCATGCTGCTGTTTTTAGAAAATGCCTGACTCCAGTGCAGGAGGGAGGGACCAGGTTAAAAACTGAAACCTTTGCAACAATGAGCACGTTTACAAAGCTTTGGACTACAGAGAAATGACTGGACCCTGCTCGGCATTGCTCCCAAACCGGTCTGACCGCTCTATAGTGCCAGTTGACATACTGCATGTAAACTGCATGTAATTTCCAGTATAAGCACCAAGTAGAAAAAGTAAGTCACGCACGTATTCTTTACTTGCAGTTGGGGTATCAAACCTGTCATCAAAGGGGCTGGTGTGGATTTCATTCCAACCAAGCAAGAGCAGAGCAGACTCCACCCATTTCGTCAAGTCCAGTCTTAATCTGAAGCGCTGGAGAAATGGGTGAAGTCTAGTGTACTCCTACTTAGATTAAAAGAAAACCTGCTGTCACTGCGGCCCTTTGAGGAACAAATTTGACACCCCGGGCATGGAGCAATAGATTTTTTTTGGACTGACTGCACTTCATTACAATGATCAGAATGAGAGATATTTGTCTGAATACATTCCATAATTAAAACATGGCAGGTCGTCTCAGGATTATCCGTTGTACGTGGACACATGTCAGCGCAAACGGTAGAAATGATTTGATCCAGTTACGCCCATAGAGCCATGGATACACCAAACACTTATTTCTCACACAAATCTGCACCAATCCGGTTTTCACCAGTGCTTTGTAAACATGATCATTGCCTATGCCTAGGGTGTCAAACGGGGCCTTAAGGGGCCGGTGTGGCTGCACATATTCATTCCATCCAAGTAGGAGCACACTAGACTCCACCCATGTCCTTAGGTCAGTCCTAAGGAACTGAGGAACCTGAGGAAATGGGGGGAGTCTGGCATGCTTCTGCTTAGTTGGGATGAAAACCTGCAGCCACTGGAACCAGTTTGACACCATTGCTTATTTTTGGAGATTAGAAACGTTTGAACTAACCTGGTTTATCAATACACCAAAGCATATACAAAAGTAATACCCTCTCTTTCATGTACACATGGGACTACCAACCAAAACTACCAACACAAAGCGGTCAAAAGTGCTCAAATAAAGTGTTTGTTCTTGTCGTCACGAATCCGACGCGTGTGTTTCTCTGAACCGTGTTTCAGACGGGCCTTGGGACGGTGGGAACACGTGAAGACGGCTCCAGGGGAACAGGATGTGGACGTCCGCAGAGGTGAGTGTGTTGGAAATGAAAACGCTAGGACGCCATCTTGACCGCTGCCTTCACGGCTGGGAGGGGGCGGAGTCTAACCCAGCGTGGTGATGTTGGCCCTGCCCCCTGGAGGCGCGCAGACGCGGGACGTGTTGCGCCGTGGGATGTTGTCGTCGATCTGGGCCCCTGTGGCGGTTACAGAGACGTTTAGAGTGCGACAGGATAGATCACCGACTGCATTCACTATAATATGTAGCAATTATCAATGAGCCTGCGCCTTATTTTTGTTTCATGTAATAAAGAAAAGTTAAAAGACGAAAAAACTGGGTCAATCTCATAATGAAGAAATGTACATGTTACAATTGGCTACAATAAGATTCCTCAGGGTGTGGAAATAGACTGGAAACGTGCAAACGGATAAAAAGTTATGTCCCAGGTAGAGCTGCCTGATTAATCAAAAACGCAATTTCTGTGGTCGCAATCAGTGAATTGTGAAGTTAATTATTTAATTTGCAAATATATTCTTTAGAATTGTGATATTCTGGATTTTTTTTTTCTCATTCTGCTTCAAATAGTTGAGGTATACCTCTGATGAAAATTACAGACCTTCATCTTTTTAAGTGGGAGAACTTGCACAGTTGGTGGCTGACTAAATGCTTTTTTGCCCTTCTGTATCTATCGTTGGACAAGAGTAAAATGTTTGGACTGTTGAGGGAATGATTTAAACATGAAAAGATGACGCTGCATTATCGTCAATGTGTAAGAAGTTGTTTCATGCCTTAAACTTGTCAAATGTTACAATAAAATGTCTTTCATTTGTAAATATATCAGTAATAAAATGAATGTATTTCATGTCTGATGTTTGATTTGTTTGTTAATTGCAAACACAGCAGGACAAGTGTTGATCCTTTATCTATAGAGAAAAGCACTCGCAGAGAGCAGACCTCCACCAAGAGGCACAGACAGTAACTTAATCCTTCTACCATTTCTGATATTTTCTGGATGTGTCTTAAAAATCCACCTACAAACTAACAAAACCTGAAAACATAACCCACTGAAGAAAATAAACTAGTGTAAACAGGAAAGACCAACATTTGTAATTATATGTACAGTATCTTTGCACATTTTACATAAGATAGGATAAACCTTTGTCATGTTGCACACAGTGTAGCAGAATAAAAGGGGGAAAACTACCACTATTTAAGATAATAAAATAAAACTGTAGTTAGCATCATGAGGTATTTACGAATGTTTATATTTTACTTCAGCAGCTGAGAGTATGACTTGAAAAACAATAGTAAAAGTAACAATAGCAGCAGGACATATTTAAGTCATCTTGGGCAGAGCATTCTCTCGTCTCACTCACCGGACAGGCTGAAGCCGGACTGGTGCAGGTTGCGTGTGGGCTGGTTTGGCTGTTTGGCAGGGGAGGTCTTGGTGGAGGAGACTGGGGTCATGATCTTTGGGGTCACGGTCACGTCACACACTGGGCCGTCGTACAGACCTCGGGGAACTCCCCTCAGCTCGGCCAGCTGCGAAACAGATCCCACTCATGTCACATCTGTAACTGCCCTGAACTTTTCTACACAAAGATCTCTGATGTTGGAACATGTGTGTTTCTGAAAGAGACACTTTAAAGAGTGTCGCTATATTTTTTTGTGAATTCTGTTATTTAAAGAAAAGATCAAGCTGAAACCATCAGAATTTCACACAAAAAGCTACTCAAACGAGAGCCTCATTCTGCTCTCTGATTGGATAAACCATATAAAAAAACCATGTAAAATAAATGTTAAGGACATCATATCCATAGTAGGTTAAATCAAGAATAGCGAAACTTTCAACTTTTGATCGGAAAAGACCAAATATAGTTTGCACATGTGACCTGCGTACATACAATTATCCAATGCTGTCCCTTTTAATTATGCAGTGGGGCTACGTATGAAAAATATAATCTTTGTCTTGCACAGCATACAATCTCGGCAGGGAATGGAAGCCTACTTTACTAAATAAAAAATAAATCACATTATTAATTAAAGCCACGTTGTCCAAAGTAAACCAGAATGGATCCAGTTGAAGTGTAAAGTACCAGACCAACAAATGTGAAGCCCTTGTTAGCCTTTAGAACCTCTTAGAAGCGTGTTGTAGAGCATTTATGATGATCACCAAACACTGAAACACTGAGCCCTGGTCCGGAGCTTACCCTGCTGCGAGCCTTTATCCTCTTGTAGACGTAGTCGGAGAAGGGTTTTCGGGGGACGTAGCGCCCGCAGCCCTCGGTCACGTGCAGAGTTCCCTCCTCCAGCACGATCTTACCCTGGCTGATGACCACCAGGGGGCCCCCACGCACCTCCAGGCCCTCGAAGATGTTGTACTCCACAGTCTGCAAAGGACACAAACAGGATTGAGCGGAGATCTGAATGTGAAGTGGAAGATAAGAGCTGTGGGACAAGTTCTCAAATTAACAAAATTATATGGAAAATGTACAAAATATATCTATTCAGTAATTATGGGTAAACCTAGTTCCTTTTCCTTGCTCTGGGGCAAAAAAACCCGATACATTTTACACCCTGGTTTCATGGTGAGCTAGCCCACATTAAACAGAGAAGAATTCTGTGTGAAAGATGTAGCCGACCTTGTTTTAAGGTTAAGACTGATTTAAAGAAGAATTATGCATCATTTTTGGCCATTACAAATGATAATGAGACTTTATTATTTCATGTTTTAGAATGTGAAACAATAAAAAAGTATGAAGGGTAAAAAATGATATCGGCCTGTAACTCCCTGTGCTACCACCAGAGGGAACTAGATTTTGTTTGGGTCATTTTCAAATTTGGACAAAAACAGTTCCATGTGATCATAAACAACGTAATTTTACCAGAGAAACTAGTTTATGTGCAATTCTCCATCCATTCCATTTTCTTCCCCCCTTTGTAAAAACCAACCAGGCTCTGCCCAACTTCATCCCTGACTTCTGTTGAGTTCTTCAGAGTCCAACATGTCATGGTGTGGACTTTGGATTATTTGGATTATTATTAAGTTTTATTTTGCTATATATTTGTAGTTTGAGTTTGCTTCCTGTCTGTTGATTGTTTTTCCTAATGCGATTCACGTGCGTCTCCCGGTCTGTATTTATACCCTTTGCTTTTCCCAACTTGTTGTCTGTAAATTGTCTATTCTGCTTATGTCCCTGGCTTTTTTCAGTTCTGGTATTTTGGTATTTTGGATTTAACTGATTAAATTACACTTTACATTATGACAATCCTGCATTATGGATTCCTTTTCCATTTCCCCTTGTGACAAAAAATATACAGCAAAAAAAGAACTTGGTCAAATAATCAAAAGTCCACTCCATGACACAGCATTCTCTCCTCCACCCCCTGAGGCCATCGCGGACCACAGAAGAAAAAAAGATCAGAAAAACCATTTCCATAATGATCTTGTACAGGCCTCGAAATCAGTGAAATGTGGTCTAAAAAGACTCAGCAGCTCGGATGAAACATTTTGATTTGTGGCTCTCTGGAACCTTTCACAGATGAGATCATTGCGACTGTAAAACACATGTTAGCGGTGTCTTCAACATGACCTCAAAAAAAAAATCACATCGGTTGGGAAGGAACACAGCTTGACTTTATGGAAGTAGGATTTATAGTTTTGCTCCTTATATTTAGTAGAGGGTAAAGGAGACTATATTAATATTGTGAAGATTACCGAGTTGTGGTTCTTGGCGGAGATGATCTTGGTGACGTCGGGGTCCCACAGAACCAGGTCTGCGTCAGAACCCACCGCGATGCGTCCTTTTCGAGGGTAAAGGTTGAAAATCTTAGCGGCGTTGGTGCTCGTCACAGCCACAAACTGGTTCTCGTCCATTTTACCGGTCACCTGAGGAGGAGGAAGAGTGTTGATATGATGGATCATTGATGTTTTAGGGTGTGAAGACAGGGGGTTTTTAACAGATGGGGTGGGACTAAATGATACAACATAAAAGGCAGGTTTGAAGTGGTTAGCCCTGCTTCTAAGTTCCGACCATTCATCTTAAATTCAACATTGTTTATTTAATATTTGATGTACTTTGATGGTTTTTGTATAGAATTTTTAATCTCTAGCACTTTGAGGTTTGTGGAAATGTAAGATGCATTATAAATAATATGTATTATAATAATTATCATAATTATTATCATAGTATTTTGTGCTGTGGACCTGTTAAATCTGTATTACTGCTACCCATTATTATCTGAAGAACTGGACGTATTTTTTCTGACACATTGAAGCATGCGTCATTAATTTCTCAAGTGATGACGTCCTTTTCTTATGGACATCTTATGACAAGTTTTGCCTTCTTTTGTACGATCTGGAAGAGCTCGAAAAAACAACCAGGTTACAGGTGCGACTGCTCCTGCCTCTCTCTTCATTTCTCGTCAAATTATATGACCATTGTATGACCATCAACAAAAACAGACAAAACAAAACCATTCTGTAAGAGTGGGGCGTACCACACACTTGTCCCAGATGACCGACAGCCTCTCCTCGGCCCCGTTGACGCCTTCTGGGATCAGGGTGAAGTCGTCTTTCCCGACGGCGCGCTGAGCCGTGTCGAAGGGACAGTGAGCGCTGCCCGTCACCTGCAGGTCTCCACTGCAGCACAAACAAACGTGAGTCAGTCAACCAGAGCCAAGGCATAATCGCTGTTCACAATACTGTCACGTCAACTTCAACCAAGTGCTTCTCAAACTGAGGTATTTAGGGAGATGTCTGTATCAATTAAAATGTGTTTTCAACCTTAGTATAGCCCTAAAACACAACAACAGCTATCTCGAAGGACTTTACAATGGGGTTGATTTGCCAAGATTAACACCAGATAACCAATGTCCATAAATGTTAATAAATGTCCTGAAACATTTACACTATCCTTATACAATAACTTTGCTCAGCCTCAGCACCAATCACGCGTCTCCTTGTTTTGTGTTTTCTCAGTCCTAATAGCAATGATGCTTTAGCGACTCTGTGGGCCCTGATCTAACAGTGATGGTGGCCGTACCAGGAGAGCAGGGAGTTGAGGTAGTCCGGAGTGGCGGGGTCTGGGCTCAGCGGTGGAGACGTGACGAAGGATGCTGCTTTGGCCCAGTTCTTGCTCCAGTAGTGAGAGCCGTCTGTGCCCAGGCTCGCCGTGATGGGCTCTCCGAAAACCACGGTGCCTACAGCGGGCACCGAACAAAACAATGAGACGCAGGCTCCGTGTACTTCATCAGAATGATCATAATGAGTGAGACGCCGATGTGAGTTCAAATACATCTCTAATATGATCATGCTTTTCCTGGGGCAAAGACAAGTTTATTTTCTATAGCAAGGTCTTGTTATCTTAACAAGAAACAATCACAGAAGGCTTGAAAATCATAAAGAATCGCAGTACATTAAAACAAATAAAATCCTTCAGTTGTATGCACAGCTAAGCAGGACTGTTTTTAACCTAGCCTGTCTCACATTTTCCCTGTGCTCCTCAGAGTCCGAGTTGATTCATATGGCACTAACATGTCACGAATGAACTTTGGTGCGAGGCTAAAGAGACTGGGCTCTTAAATGCATCTGTCTGCCTTGTCTCAGTAGGATCCGGTTTACCTGATTATATGCATGGTTATAAACAAAGTAGAAATGGTTCATACCAATAACGCCAAAAAGACTGTGTCCTGCTCAATGGAATAATAAATACACATTCCTCGTTCGGCTCCTTGTCACACGTTGGCGTCTCACCTTTCTTCCGTGCCTGAGCGATGACATCAGCGGCGCTCTTGCTCATCACCTTGGTGACGTAGAGTGGGCAGTTTGTCTGATTGGCCACAGTCACAGAGCGATTGACGGCCTCTGCCTCCACCTGCGCCGCAACAAGATGCAAGAGATGACACGCAAACATTCATAACACGACACACATTCAGCTTCATGTCTTTCACTTTGGATCATTTCAAAAGCAGAATGTCTCATGTTTACTGATAGATGGCGCTCTCACTGTAAGTTATCCATTGTATTTAAAAACTATTTATTATGATTTTACTCTTCTCAATGTGCCGCATATTGGAAATAATGGTTTTGAGCGATACAAATAAGTAGTAAAGTATTGGATTCTACACACAGTACAAAACATGATTATTGATTGGGATGTACCAAGACTCATACTCTCGTAACCAGGAGCTGATAATCAGGATTTATACACTATAAGCACACAATAACATTTACTTATTCAATAAAAGGTACTAGATTCAAATCCTATGTAAATATGTTTATAAACGTGACTGATTGAATATGTAAAATGTCTCATACTCCGTATCAGGAAGTACTCCAAATATAGTATCGTACTCATACTCTTATTGGTTTTGAAAAAAGTGTAATCATCTTTCCCTCCTTTATGCAGTTTTTCTTCTACGAATGCCTCACCTCCTCTGGTCGACTCAGGACGTGTCCCTCTGGTCCCGTGATTCCCTGAGACAAGATCCTGCGCTGCTCCTGAAAACATAGAGGAAGAATAATTTAAGAGTAGAACATTTATAGTACTTTTAATACTACATCGGGTTTGTAGCAATCATAACAAATAACACACCACAGTGGCCCATCTTTGCCAATCAACCTAAGACTTTCACTCATGCAGAGCCCATTATCTGCAGTGGCCCCTCCCACAAGATAACTGATGCTTTCAGTGCCCCCTGCTGGTTTCAAAGTGTGTTTCCGCTTCCCCAGTCAGAGCAACTACAGTGGAGCCAGACTACAAAGATGGCACCCCTCTTCTTTATAGCTGTGATAGGACAGACTGCTCCCACTAGCACCAACATGAAGAGTCTTAAAAAAATCAATTGTGAACAAATCAGGCCTCAATTTTATATCTTCATGTTATCTTTTACACATTTGAAAGAAATCAGCTCTCAGTAAGTCATAAAGTTTTCTAATGACAGAACCCATGTTGTGGTCTGATTAGTACACAAAATGTTACATAAACAAAACAATTTCTGTGGGAAGTTTTTGGGGAAAACAAAATGTATTAAAAACATAAATGGGCAACAATTGAGAGTCCAGTTTTCTGTAGGTCTTCTCATCTTGATCTGTGCGGTGCAGCTCACTCGGACATCTCTGTGCTTACGCTTTGAAAAATCAGTTTAAATTCAACACGGCCATTTCTCTTCTTCAGTTGATTTCCGTGTAAACACTGTGTCCGTCTGTTTGAGTGTGTGTGCTCAACCCCACACGCGACGGCCTGATCTAAAACCCCCACATGTTCTTCGTCAGGCAGCTGTAGCGTGTCTGCCTGGTCTTTGCCTAAAACAGGCTTTGGTTTACGCTACAGGTCGAGTGCAGGAGCAAAACAAGACAGAATGTAAAGTGCGGCCGCTCGTCACCTCCGCAACTATGTCCCCGTTCTCTGCATGGACCTGTGCGATGGCCCCCAAGTCCCGGATCACGCTGAACACCTCATACACCTGCACCAAACAAAGAAGAACAAAGAATTTTGTCATATCTTTAAATGTTTTCACTGTGGAAAAAGTAAAAGTTTTCTCATCGTGATGGATTTTCTCCCTAGACCAAAGACTGGAGTGGACCGAGTTGAGTGTGATGTCGCCGTTGTGTAATTTTGCCCCTGAATGAAGCTGAGAAAGGCTAGGGGCTGATTCTTGATTAAATATTAAAGTGGTTGTCTCATAGCCAATAGTTTGCGTTCATGGGTAATCACAACATTTCAAAGAGCCTGTAGTTTAAAGGTGTATAGGATGATTTTCTACCTCCGGGTGGATCATCAAGACTATTGATCCTCCTAATTGTCAATCATTCTGGTGATACGTGCTTGTTAAATAAGACCAGAGAGGTTTTTTTAAAAGTGGAGAGGGCAGTTCTTTTCTAAAAAGTGGGAAAATCCTCCTAACATTGTGGTTGAAGGCATCTGAAAAATCTATCCAAGTAACTATGGTAAGTGTCAAAATTCAGATGTATAGATACTCTCTTTGTAATTCCTGTGTCGATTTTATGTGTTTTAGTCCACATAAAATAAAAACTGTGTGTGTGTGTGTGTGTGTGTGTGTGTGTGTGTTTTGTGAGCATTTGTGTGAAAGAGGGAGAGCTGTGTCCACTCCTTCATCAGTCTATTAATTTCACACACTTTTATATTATCAAAGCATTCACCTGAGAATCTGAGAGCTGGAAGAGATCCTTGTAAACCAGATACACGAGGAACGAGTTCACACCTGTGAGAAAACATGAGCAGTTTTAGGGTCTTCAACTACATGTTATGTACAGTATTTGTACAATTGAGAGCAAAACAGGCAAAGAAAGAAGATTCACACAAACACAATATTTGCACTACATCAGACCCCTCAGTTTTAAATCATGTGTATTATTCATGGCTTTCAGGGCTATAATACTGGAAAATGTGAGGAATTTATTGTATTGAGACTTATATTGACCTAGTCCAAACTCTAACCATAGTGAACCCTAGCCCTAGCCATATTGAGTTTTAAACTAAAGGCTGACTTTCATGCCGCTTGCGTCACACACCCACCTGCACGCACACACACACGCCATTCCACACTCGCGCACCCTTCCCCCCCGTTTCATTCATACGTAACATCCACACGCATCATCCATACTCTTGTCCGTCTCTCTAGTCCGCCAAGGGTGCATACCGGTCTGTCGCACTCCTCTGCATCTGTGCGCGAGGATCGAACCAGGACCATACCTGGTGGGTTAAATGCACCCTGGGAGCGCGGGGAATTGCGCTCATGTGTTGCACATAATTAACTGTACTTGTAATGGCCTAATGTTTTATTGTAGAGTATAGTTTTCTGTGTTGGACCATTAGGGAATGGGCCCATAGAGCCGTGTTTGGCACACCAGCAGTCTACCGCTGGTTACAGAGGAGGTAACTACTTAAAGGTGACCTATGTGTCTATCTGAACCTGTTGTTGCTTAAATCACTGTACATATGCTCTGCACTGCCTGCACCATTTTTTTTTTGCACTTTGGGAGAATAAAAACACAATCAATCACGGTAATCCGAGCTTGCCTGTTTTATTCTTAAAGTAACCCACGACAGTTATGTAAGTATTTGAGTGTTGTCGTGTACCGTGATCTTTGACCAGCGTCTCCATGTCGTCCTGCAGCCCGCGGTGCCACTCGGTGATGTCCATGTGCAGGGAGTAGTCGCAGCAGGACTTACTGTCGGCCCACTGCCTCCACTGATCGAAAGCCATGAGCAGAGAAGCACCAGGCTCCGGGACCACGTGATCGACTGCACACAGCACAGGTCAGCGGGGACGAAAGACCAGACCAGACATTACCATTGTTCATCCATTAAATCAAATACAAATAAAAGAAACTAATACAGTTACACTTGCATTAGTTGTGTGGGAATGACATTTTATTTTGACACACTTTCTTCTACAGCCCTGCCTCAGTCCCCGTTCTACAGCCTGGAGTCCTGGATCTACATTCTGTCTGTGGGAGCGGATCTGTCTCTCAATGTGGGCCTCCCTGATGTTTCTCACTTTTTTTCTACTGGGTTTTATGAGTTGTTCTTTGCTTCATCCAAATTTCCCCACTGAGGGTCAATTAAAGGTTCTCTTATCTGATGCAGGTGGTGTTTGCTATTACTACATTTTGAGCAATCATTTTTGAAAAAGTGTATAGATGACTCTGAAAAACCAGCAGAGGGTGCTGCCGTCTCGGCTCTGAGCTCTTGCATGGGGGAAATAGAGCTGTAGCTATAAATCATAATAGTAATTGATCTCTTGATTATACAATTTGTAGTATCTATTAACAAGTGAATTAAATTGATAAATATTGTTGTCTTAAAATATTAAAAGGATGAAGCAAATACATTAATAAATAAGTTCCTGCGTGAAATATTTGAATCTTAATAGGTTGCATTCATGTGACATCACAGCATCCCAAAGAGTCTATAGTTTAACATTGTGGTTGAGGGTAGCTGACAAACCTAGTAACAATAACAATCATCAAATGTCAGATTTCTAGTAATCCCTAACCCTAACCCTAACCCTCACAAAACCAAAGTTCCACATGTCAGCACATAATAACTAAGGGCTAATTATTGTCTCTGAACAGAAAGCTGTCTGGAAGTGATGACAATATTTTAAAACAGATGCATATTGTTGGGCAGTAGAAAGGACTTTCAGACAAACAAATAATACGACAGGTTAGTGAATCTAATCACTAACAAATAATGAGCTGGGGAAACATTTGAACCATTTTCTTAGACTAACATCCCCACAAAGATCAACTTTGTGACAGCTAAAGTTCCCAGCTGTGAAAGAGCTATTTTTGTAACATCAAAATCAAATGGGAAAGATTTTGACCTGCAGTACCGTGGGTGGCCTCTGAGCACAACTGGAGAGAGGCTTAAGCAACACCCTATTCAGATACTAGACCCACTCACTGATCATGGTGGTGCCTCCGGCCAGCGCGGCCTTGGTCCCCTGGTAGAAGTCGTCGGCGGAGGTCATGCCGCGGTCGGGCATCTGGAAGCGGGTGTGGACATCGATCCCTCCGGGCATCAGCATGCGTCCGTGAGCGTCTATGGTCTTCACCCCACCGGGTACAATCAGGTTTTCTCCAATTTGTCTACAGAGAGTAGGATACTGAACTTTCAAACCACAAAAATCTCTCCCACTATTTCCTCACTCTTTAAACAACGGTAGTAAGTGATTATTTGTGTCTGGGGCCCATTTAAAAAATATACAAAGGGTTCAGGGCTTTTACACATTTTTAAGTTATGACATTGTGTCCAAAATATTATTATTATATTGTCCATCCATTTATTTTCTTGCGCTTTAACCATTGCCAGATTGCGTGGGCAGCTCTTCCAGGTGAATGGAGGCGTTCCCAGGCCAGCTGAGGGTAATAGTCCCACCAACGTGTCCTGATTCTTCTAAACACAAGCCTGAGCCTCAATGCTGTTATGTTTACATTCAAGTTTTTTAACTTGAACACTCTTTTTGTTGTGACAAAGAATTGTGTTATTCGTTCAAAATAAGTCAGGCACTCTGCTTTAAAGTAAAACAAATTAGTTGTTTTGTGCATATCTTGAAAGGAGCACTCACTTGATGACTCCATCCTCCATGTAAATGTCAGCGCAGAACGACTGGTCATCGTTCACGATCTTTCCCCCTTTGATCAGAAGACGATCGCTCTGCAAGACAACAGGATAAGAAAAGATAAGATTAGAAAACCTTTATTCTTCCCACAGTGGAGAAATGTTGATTGAGGAAATGGAATGAAGTGAATTTAACGACACAAGAGTGAAAGAAGCTATGGTATGTTTTGAGTCTATGGTAAGAGTTCAGTTTGGTAAATCCTGTTCTACGGCAGGATTTGGCCCCACTACTATACACAGTACCTGGTAATTTTTTAGTACCTTCAGGGCCCTGTTCTTAACCAGGCCGAGCTGGACTTAAGTGTTCTAACAGACAGTGATTGGCCAGAGTGCTTTTGCAAGCCATGGTTATCAAGGAATTCCCCAGATACTGATTTGTTGTGGGTAGGTTTCTAGGATACGGCACCAGATGCTTAAGCGTAATGGAAACGCAACCAGGTAGAGTAGAGTAGGGCCAAGGAAGGATGGTGGAATTGGGGCTAATGTGTGCACAATGTTAAAGCACTCACAATATTCTGCCAATTTTGAATAATGTAACAAGAAGTTTAAATATTCAGCAAATGAGAAATTAGTGAAATTATATGGGAATCTACATGGAACGAGGTGGAGTTAAAGGTTGGAGACCCCTGCTGTGTAAAGTGTCTTGGATAGTTGCAATAGGGATACAATGATGTCTAAAGGCTTCAAATCATAAACCATGTGTATACTGTATGTATAGTTTTATCCCCTGGTCCCAGTGAACCTGTGCTCAGACTGCATGGATGATGAGAAGCACATGGCCGCACTGGCAGACCTTCACAAACAGATGAGTTCAGTTACATGTAATGTTTGGACCAGACTCAAGTCGTGTTTGGAAAGTCACAGGAGAGACTAAAGGAGGTGATTTTATAACGTTTGACACAGCAACAAGACACAGAGAGACAGAGAGGATTGTGTTGTGGTCAACGTGTGGTTAAAATGTTAAGAAAATATAATTATTACGACGTCTTGTGGCGAGTAATGAGTCTGGGAAGGTCTTTGTTATAACCGCACAGTTTATGCATCATTCCTGACAGCCACCAGCTCATGCTAACGCTAATGCTAATGCTACAGCTATATTCACAAAAAGACCAAATCCAGGAGAAGCATTCAGGCTCTCCATCACAAAGCAACAAAAACACGAGAAAAAAAAGGTGAAACACAGTGAAAAACGTGCAGCTGGCAGATGTGGGTATCTGGTTTACTTGCAATCTAAGTGCAATTTAAGTGTTTCTTTGGTGAAAACATGTTAACAATATATAATATACATGATCATTTATGGGGAGAATCTACAGTATAAACATTTGTAATTGCTTGAGTAGAATCCTAAAAGGTCTGCATCAGTATCGGATCCAAAGAAATCAGAATTTAGAATATGTAGGATTATTCAAATTGACACTGCGACGGAAATTTGTCTTCTTATATTTCTATGTATTTGTATGGCAGAGTGTTCATTGCCCCAAAGTCGCACTTACACTTTCAACAATTGCACATGTTGTTAAGCAAACCTACATAGACATGGGGAGAACATGCAAACCCCACACAGAAAGGCCCTGTGCCAACCGGGAGTCAAACCCAGGATTCCAAAGACGGCACAGCTAACCATTGCAACATTGTACCACCCAATTTACTAATGGGCCATTTGTACAATCCCAGCATGTTATATTCTCTATAAACCTACAAAGTACTCACCTCATCTTCTAACCCAAAGCCAAATATTAATCCTGCCATCTCTCACTTTGCATAAAAAGCAAGGGTACAGGGTTTTTCATCTGCAATCACAATTCTGGCCTAAAACCATCCATCATAGCGGCATCATTGTTGTTCTATGGTATGAAATTCCAAAGTAAATGTTCTCAAAATCATGATTGCCAAAATTTTGACAATAATATTTGAATAAAAGACAATTCCTCTGATTTTTCCTCCATGTTGAGGAGAGACACGCATCCTCAGTGGTCCTGTAACATGAGCTCAGGATTTGGTGAATTTAATTAGAGAACAATGAAAGCCCTCCTCCTTCTCCCCGAATCCTCTTAGACGGACAGGACAGAGCTCCAATCAGAAGGGACGCTGTGTAATCAATCATTCACGGGGGAGAAAGAGAGACATGAGGTGGGAGGGTGCGTTCTGTCCCACAGTGCCCCCGGAGCTACACCCTCAGACGGCCCAGACCCGGGCCCGCACAGGGAGTGGCAGGTCTGGTCACAAGTCCTGGCGTCTCACAAACAAAGGGGTCTCTGTTCAGACTGATGGAGGCTGCTACGGATCCAAACGCTGTCACCAAAAGCCTCTCCCCTGGGCTGAGTCTCTACTGTAAGAGCACTGGAGCGGAGTATTGGAGTAACCTGACTTACCCCCAGACATGACACGGTTTGAACTAGGGATGCGGAGAATAGACAAAATACCGGGGCCATCATTTGATTAATTTTGGGGGGTTGTTTGGTTCAGTGAGTAGGCTTTTATTTTGATGTAATCCAAGTTTACTGCTATTATCCCGGAATGTCATATACAGTAGGTTTAACGTTTACTCAGACAATAAATCAATTCAATGTATTTATCCATCCATCCATCCATTTTCTTCCGCTTTATCCGTTGCCGGGTCGCGGGGGCAGCAGTCTAAGCAGAGACGCCCAGACTTCCCTATCCACACACACTTCCTCCAGCTCGTCCGGGGGGACCCCAAGGCGTTCCCAGGCCAGCTGAGAGACATAGTCCCTCCAGCGTGTCCTAGGTCAATGTATTTATGTACAGCCCAAAATCACAACAGCAGTCATCTTCATGGACTTTACAAAGTTGTTGATTCGCCAACACAGATCAGAAAATCAAACCGTTCGAATACAGCAAATGCAATAATAACATACACATAGGAGCCATTGATTCATAGGGAGCGGGACGACCAATGTCCATAAATGTTAATAAATGTTCTGACCTGGATCATCCCTGGCTTTGGCTTAGACCCTCCTGCATCAGCAAGGAACAAGTTGAAAAGTGAAAAAGTAAGAAGCCGTGGGAAGCCCCACAGAGACAGGGATCCGCTCTCACTGACAGATAAGCAATAGATCCAGGACTCCGGCTGAAGAACGAGGGCCGAGGAGCCAATATCAGTGTGGCTAATTTGATTTCTCATATATCAATCCATTTTCTTCCACTTTAACCACAGCCGGGGATCAGACCACGGACCATCCTAAGTAATTTTGATTGTAAATTGATGTTAAAGAATAAAAAACCAGGGTGGGTATCTAACTTTTTATGTTTCAGAAATCAACTTTTTTCCCAGGTTTTTCAATATGCCAAAATGTAAAATTCTATTCTTCATTGACGGGGGAGAATAATGAGAAAAGTTGCTGCGTTATTTGGACCCGTGTTGGCTTTTAAAACAGGAACTTGTAATCATCCAAACAGCAGTTTATCATCCAGGTGGAGCTATACATTTTCCCACATACTTTATAAAGATCAGCGAGTGCAGCTAAACAGCTAAAATTCTGATGTAAAAATGACTGCTATATTTGGTGTTCACACGGAACAGACCTGAGCAAAAGACCAGGCCATCTCAGTGTGTTAAACCTGGGTTTTATGGGTAAATAACCTGTGTTTTTGCTCAGTGGGTATGGTGCTACAAGTCTGAACAAATCAGACCATTATTGTTTTTCATCATCTCTTTAGAAAATAACCTCCTGTAGTCCTGACCAAGCCAAGCATCAACAAGGGATAGAGATGGGCCCTGGCCACTGTACTATAATTACTACTACTGACAGAGGCCCCTGTAGCATTGCAGGACGGGTCAAATGCAGTGGACAATAAAGTATAACTTAATTTGACTAAATCTTCCATTGCTGCTAACAATGAAAGACTTTAATGTTACATGTTCAGGCTTTGTTTATCGGTTACTACTAACTACCATGTTGGGGCTTTCCATGGATTAAAAGGTGGAAATGATCCCAGCCTTTTATGGATGGCTTCCACGGTCGCGTCATGAAAAGTAGTTTTTAGTGCGAGTCTGCTGACAGCCACAGCTCCGGGCAACAACACAGTCCTGACATACTGCAGCCAGACATTTCCTGTGCGGCCTTTTGTAATGACCTATTTTTAAAACTATGATAGGCTCACACACACGTCCATTAGCCACAGTGCTGACTCGGGAAATGGTTTGCAGTTGTCGTCTGAAGGAGTGCCACTGAGGTTACAGCGGGGTCTGGCCGCGCTCCAGTCGAAAACCCATCCCAAACAACTGCCCTACAATGTGAGTGTTAGCGCTGTCGTTATCACATTACCACAGCGGTTTGCCAATACTTCTGCCAAGTTATTTACCAATTCGCCAGTAAAAACAAAGAGATCACCATGTTGCTGACTTTGGGTTGTCCTGTCCTTCTTACACACTAAAGAAAGTCTGAACGAATGGCCTGAACGGCTTGAAGATTGAAAGTTAATCTAATTGAAAGCATCAATTTTAAAGTGATGCCAAACTTCTGACCATGGGACACTGTACTATTATCTACATAAAGTGTACAATAATAATATATAGAGAATAGTTCCTCCAATTGGCATTACTTTGACCATTTGCTAGAGGAGAACAGTCAAACCAATGACGAGAAGCCTCAAGAATTGTTATTATTTTTGGGCCAACAGGAAGTTGCTGGGTGAGGATGATCAAACCTCTGCTAACCACTCTCTCTTCACGATTTGAAAAGTAAATGACATCCACTTTAATTAAATCCAATCCATGATAAGATGAGGTATCACAAGTCTATGTATATCCCTAGCAATTTTAGAGATATTTGAGGTGTCATTCTCAGCTGCATCAGTAGTTCCACATTAGCATGATGGTGTTGCCATGGTGATTTAATTGTCAATAAAAAAACATTTCTCAATTATAGCTGGATATCTTTTGCCTTATTCGGTATGCAAGACACAAGACAAGACAGATGTCATTTGTTATAAACAAAATTTGAATGTAGAAATTATTAGCTGTGGTGAGTTTGGATTTTTCTAACCCAAAATATGCTTTCATTGTCCTTATT